TCCACAGCACATGGCTCAAAATTGCCAGCATTTGTTGTAAGGAGGAAATCCCAAACTCCCGCAGTGTTTTTAGGTGAGAAACATTAGTGGGAATATATAAAGTTTGCATTTAATTTTTATTGTGTAAAAAACTTTGAGTTTTTCTGCTTTACTTGGCTGGGGTGAACAGATTTTTAGGACTAAAATATTTAATCTTTTGCAATGAGTTTTTGGGCCAAGAAAACTTTTATATATTCCCACTAATGTTTCTCACCTAAACATTTTTGAATCACAGCTGTGTGTGAGACGGCTGGCGCAAGTAACCCGGACCGACGCCCGAGGCTGTGCACCTATCCCCCGTTGGTCTCGCTCAACCAAATTGTCACGCATCGAGTACTGCGTCTACCCACCCATTCACCGAGTCTCCCGCGTCCGTCGACGCGTCCAACCCTCCGGTCTCTGTACCGTCCGAGCCCACGTCCCGGAGCCCCAGTCCATCGGACTCCATCCCCACTGCCCCCCACACCGACTCGATGACAAGCGCGGGGCATTGTCAAGGATGAAGCCCGTAGATTGGGCAAGGGAGAGGTTGGCACGGGCAAGGGGACCGCGTCGAGGACACAGAGAGCAGCCCAGGTGTCATGGGCCATGGCGGTCGGCCACGCCAAACTCATCTGCGTCACAGGCGCATCCAGGGATAAGTACACCGCTTTGGTGCTCGGTCCGGGTTACTTGTGCCAGCCCTCTTGCAGAGTGCACACCCCAAGAGGTGCGCGATCCGGCATCGGAGACCACCATCATGTCAGACCCCCTCTCCTGTTTCACGTCAAATCACCTTCTGCCGAGACATGGCAGAGCGATATACCTTTCAGCTTTTCTGCTGCCAACATTGTGCCATACGCGCGTGGACATCAATGCATGCAGCTAAGTAAGGACAACGATGTAATTCAGGTTACCGAGGTTTTTATAAATACTGTAATTCTTCCATGGCTCCGAGCCATAAGTGTCTATTGAACTCTATTTAGTTACAACCACACTTGTAACGTTGTAATAGTGCAATTAATTGAAGTTTATCGACTCTGCTTTTCCTTCTCTTTGCTGAATTGCGAGGGTCCAGCGGTCGTATCAAATCGGTTCCCAAAGCGGTTGACAGTGATGGTGGTTCGGATCAGCAGATCGCGCACCTCTTGGCACTGCGGGAGTTTGGGAATAAACAGTGCCCCTTTCGATCCATTATACACCTAAAATCAATGTACCAACAAAAGAATTTTTTTTATACCTCTATTTGCACCCAAAAGAAATTGTTCCAAATATGCCTGCTTATATGAGAAATAGATACTATAAACAGACTCAGTTTTGTCAACTGGTTTTGGGGCAGATCAAACAGCCTTTTCTAGACCAGTTTTTGTATCAAAACATGAACCAAAAATATTCACATATATTCACTTATATGATATATATCAGGGCCCTGGACCATATTTTTTGGTCCCTATTTTGATGCAAAAGCTAGTCTATTTAATCTGCCCCTAAACCGGGGGACAAAACTGAGTCTGTTTATAGCATCTATTTCTCATATAAGCAGGCAAATTTGGAACAATCTTTTTTGGGTGCAAATAGAGGTATAAAAAATTTTCTTTTTTTGGTACACTGATTTTAGGTGTATAATGGATCGAAAGGGGCACCGTTTATTCCCGAACTCCTGCAGTGTGGCACACCCCCAAAACCGTCACATTTGTCACAACTTTTGATTTTACCCTAAAACTGATACTATTTTAGATTGAAATACCGCCTCTCGGATTAGCTCTGCAACGAGGGCTGGGTATGAGCCTGCAGTGTGACTGCAAGCTAAATTCTTCATAAACGCGGTGAACTTTCAATTACTTTCCATGTCACGGTCATGGTCGTAGTCAAGATTCGAGCTGATTCGAGAGTGAGTGACATCACTGCAGATCACTCTTGCTCTATCCACTGCTCGTCACATCGTCGCCCCCATCTTCGCTGGCGCCGCCCAGCATGTATTTGGCCAGACTCTCGAGACCTTGCGCCATGGCAGACAACAAATAGCTTCTTTTCCACCCTCGCGCCTTTCGATGTACTCGTCGGGACCGGCTGGGAGTGTGGGGCAGAGAGGTGGTGGAATATCTGGACAAGGGAGAATGCTGAGGCTCCGCTTCTGTCATCGTGGTCCTTGGTATCCAGAGCCGAAGAGGAGAGTGTGCGCGAGTGAGCAGGGATGGGTTGGAAAAGGTGTGTTTCACTTGCTTCTAGGCTTGGATATTGTTATAACCTTCCAATGTGCGCAGACCCTTCTTGCTTTCCTTCAAACTAGGTCACTCCATATCTGCCTTGTTCATTTCTCCACCGATGTTTTGGGTTGAGAGAAAAATGTTGCGTGAGCATGAGGAGTGAATGTGTCGACTGGAAACGCAGGTCGACACGGGAACGGAGCGGCTAGCAAACGGTGCGACGTGCGTTGACTCGTCTCTGTTGTTTCGATATCGCCATTGATTCCATTCACGTAGGGTTTAAACGTGTGATGTTCCTCGTATTGTCGTTGACCTCGACGATATCCACGAAAACGATGTCTTGAAACACTCCTTTCTCGTCCTCATAGTCGGCAGCACCAATACCCAGTGGCATTTGATTGTAAAGGATGAGTAGCGAAGGTCTGTCTATGTCCTGCCACACACCTACACGAAATCACCCCGGTCAACCCACATTGTCGCTGTTAGAACGGCCCTCGGAAGATGGTCCTGGCTTTTCTGGTCGCCTGAAGCGCTGGGAATTCAAAACGCTTTCTGTATCTGGAAGAAAGGTGCGTGAAAAAGATGCCTGATCTCTTTCGTTTTGGCTCACTCTTGGACAAGAACTACTCCGCTCCAAATCAACCTTCCCTCAAACTGCACCGCTGTATACCCTCTCGACATCCTCCATTGTCGACCGGACCTACATCTCCACAAGATGGTCTTTGTGCTACACCCAAGCTGATGAACCGGACCCCGCCGACCGCTTATTATCGCGTTTTGTTGCCGCCAGCTCCATTTCGTGGCCACTATCCTATTGATACACGAATCACGCCCGCGCCCATGACAGTTGGCCTCTGCACCCGCGAAACAAATCGAAGATTGACCTAGAAGCGTTAACAAAAAGGCGCCCACCTTTATATTTTTACTGCTGCCACTCCTGGCGTTACGGTGACCTACCGCCTCTTTCCTCGCATCCGAACGCTTTTTTCTTTGCAATATCATGACGGCCATTACTCGTCGACTGCATTTCATCATATCATCCTGCAGCAATCTTCTTGTCCTCCACATCTGGGGAAATGTACTCGTTCCGCGCCATCTTATACTCGCATGTTCCCGTGGAGCAGCCGGCTTTCCGTCGTTGGAGCACCCGTAAACCTATGTCTTGCGGCTCAGCAGCAGTATCCTCCAGTATGCCAGTCGGTTTACCGGCTGCGACAGTTGGGGAAATGGGAACAATATACCAACCACGCTATGAACTTGCGACGACTCATACCTACATCATCCCGCTCTCTGTGCTTGTTGATTCCCGGGTTCCCCTCCCAGCCGACTTTCGAATTGTCGCTTCACCCATATCACTACATCGACTCATCACATCTTCCGTCGCATCGAAACCAGTTCCCTCGCACCCTGCCGCTTTCTCATCACGCTTTTTCGTCCACTTAATCCTACTTATGTATGCGCGAAGTCGCCGGACATCGCCCGATTCGGAACATCCGTGTCTGTCTGGAGCTCTACCCAGCCTATGCGGCTCTTCTAAAGCTCGAGGGACGGCGAAATTGTGGGGATATATGGGCTTTACTGGGTCCTAAAGGGCAGAGGGGTGGTTCAGAAGCGAAATACTGCTTTTCCCGCTGACTACCGATTGCGGATCGTTGAAGTCGATTCCTTTGTCAGCACCTGCATTTTGGAACAGGAGAAGACTTCCCTCGCGACCCACTTCGTGTCCTTCAAACCGACCTTCATGTGTGGCTGTGCACAACTAATTTCTGTCATTATCGTCGTTCTTGCTTGCTCAGGTGGCCTTTCAAGTCTGCAGTTTGACTTGACGGTATGTGTATGCGGCTCTTGCTCTGTCTGCTTTCACACTGTGCTTTTCAGAGTCAGATTCAAGTCCAAGTTCGCTGTTTGGAGCTTTTTTCTGAGACTCAGTATGTCATACTCTTTTTCCTGCAGGCAATCACCTGACCAATCGTGTTTAACCAGTCTCGCTCTCTATTGGCGTGGGCAAATTGGCCTCCCAACACTAAGTTGAATACTCCCAGGTCTCGATCGCATAGGTACTCATACGGCCAACCGCACTTACATAGGACTTCAGCAAGCATACTTAGTCGAATATTGTTCTTCACCATCTCCGTTAACATTCCTTTATTTAATTTTGGACACTTTCCATGACCACCAATCATACAATCCCGTTCCTGCCTTCTCAATCATCCATAAGCACTGTACTTACTACTCAGATACTTACATTCTAGATCTCCCGCCGGCGATTTCAAGTTCCTCCACACGGGCTCTCATGACCGTCGTCTGCGGCCTGGACAACCCGAGCGTGGTGGAAATTGATATCGACGATTTATGTGCTCGCTGGTTTCACGTTCCGCCGCGACACGCTAAACATCTACCGCTCCCCAAGGACACAAGTCACACAACTCGGATCCGATCCAGACTAGTACTCCCAGAGCTCTATCTGATGCGTAAAGCTGCAAGTTGGACAAAGTCGACGACGACCTGCGCGTCTAGCATTTAGCTACAACGCCTGGAGTCCGTGAGGATGATTACGTCGCCTCACCCTTCGTTCTTCCGTGCACTGCATCCCGAGATTTTCCACCTGCCCGTTACCCGACGTTCGTGATCGTCTCAAGGGAAAACCGCTGTCAGCGGGGATCTCCCCCCGCTGCCAATTATAAACTGGAGCTGCAGCTGGTATAAAGGCGTTACTATACGCCCACACCTTTCAAGTTTCGACTTCGTTCCTTTCCTTAATCGCTCAACTTGGACATGTTTCGTAGTACGACCGCGCTGCTGCTGGGCGCTCTCTCTTTAATCGCCCTCCCCGCCGCTGCCCAGTTGTCCGTCTCGCAATCGTCTTATTGTGAGCATTACTTGCTGACCCGTTGACTGCAGCCCGGGACAGACCGTCCGCTTCAGCTCCGTCCTCACCGGAGGCATCGACGGCAGTACGTCTCCCTCCGTTGTGACTTCAAGAGACTAACACAAATCATCAGCCACGGGCTCCTGCATAACCGCTACACAAAACGCGGATGGCGCGCCCGTTGTCATTCAGCCTTGCGGCAACAACGCGACGCAGCTCAACTCGTGGCTTGTCCCCAACGGCGTTGGTGTCCCCGGCCCGCTCAAGATCTTCGGCGACAAGGCCAATCTTTTTTCGCTGATGTTTCTGTGGAAATGCTGACCAGCTGTGTACTAGTGCCTCGACGTGAAAGACGGCGCCAATGCAGATGGGACAAAACTCCAGATCTGGACGTGTGCCGCTGGAAATACCAGTATGTCGCCTCTTTGCACAACATGTGAAGACTCTTGCTTAATATTTGCGATTGGCAGACCAGATGTGGGTACCTGGCGGACAGGAAATCCCCATTGCATGGTCTGGGAAGGGAAAGGTGCGAGTTTCTCCACTGTTTATGCCCCAGAATTGACCCACCATAAAACAGTGCATCGACCTCACGAATGGCGACACGACCGCCGGCAACCAGTTCCAAGTGTGGACTTGCGACCCACAGTCGCAGAACCCGAATCAGCGCTTCAACAACCTTGATGTCACCGAGCCCAAAACGTTGGTTTCGTCCACAGCCTCATAGATTAGACACTAAACAGTCCACAGCCGAGCCATCCACCCCAAGGCAGACGCATCTAAATGCGTCACTGCAGCGGCCCACACTGTCGGCGCCGCCGTCGTTATTGCACCCTGCGCCACCAGCAAGACAGCTGAACAGGCGTGGTCCGCGCCTGTCGGCGGCCAGCTCGCAGTGGCCGGTGCGAGCGCATCCGCCACGCCCCTCTGTGTCACGCCCAAAGACGACAACTTCCTCGCCGACGGCACGAAGCTCGTCTTGGCCGAATGCGACCTGAGCGGCGGCAAGGCTGACCAGTTCTGGAGTAACCCGAACCCACAGGGAGGTGTCATGAGCAACGGAGGGTTCGGTAAGAACGTGCGTATTTTTACAGTCCCTGGTTTCGACATGTAAGTATTTATCGGAACTAGGTTATGGATCTGACGGACGGAAACCTGACGACGGGGAACCAGCTCCAGATCTGGTTTGGGAATATCTTCTCTGGGGCTGGAGACAACATCAACCAGGACTGGACCGCGACGTATGTCTTCTAGGGACACTATCATTAATTTGGACTTTCGTTAGAAGGCGACAATTACATTTTGAATACCCTACTCTCCAGCAGCAATTCTAATTCGTGTCCTTCTCCTCCCAGTCGTGGAAATGTCTTGTGGATCGGAGGTTCCACTTTGCCGTGACGACGGGGAACCAGCTCCAGGTCTGGTTTGGTAACATATTCTCTGGGGCTGGAGACAACATCAACCAGGACTGGACCGCGACATATGTCTTCTAGGGACACTATCACGAACAGGTTTTGGTTACTGAACCCTCCCTTCGAGCCAAACCGTGACGAAAGTCTCCACCTGTGAGTAGTCAAACTTGGCCACATTATCACACTTGTCGTTTCTGGTACGCTACGGCTGCCAATGAGCGAGAATAGACAAGGAAACACATGTGAGTTGACACACCAAGGCTTCCTCCGCCGGTTGACAAGGAACAGCCATAAAAATATACACAGTACGAACTCCTTGCTTCTTGTTGTACGTGTTGCTGACCATCTCTTCATAGCCAGCCTTGTTTGTCATTGGAAGAGCGGCAGTATTCATGGGCTTTGATGGTTTCCACTTTGCACTCTCGAGAGCAAGGTCAGCAACGGGGCAGGGGAGAACAGCAGCCATAGCAGTGCAGAATTCGTCGTATGAGTTATGGGAAGTGAAATGGACTGGGCCTGTGGAAATGCAGTCATCGGAATCGGCAGTCTCTTTGCGCGCCTTCAGCTTTGCTCTGCCTTTTGGTGGGCCAAAGCTTTCTCAACCATCGCAGAACTTGAGATTTTGATGGGAGGCGAAACGTCTTCGTCATCTGAGGCTACAACGTCTGTCTTCTTCTTCTTTGAGAGTGGTTCTGATTCGCTATCGTCGTCAATGCTGATTATGGAGTTTTGGGACTTGGACTTGGAAGCTGGCTTGGTAGCTTTGCGTTTGGTTGGCGGCTGTGTGCCGGTTTGAGTGGGAAGAAAGCGGAAAGAACGGCCAGCTGAGCAGAAGTAAATAGAGCATCACGATGAACAGCCACGCACTTGCAAAAAGATCTTCGACAGTACTAGTATTGTCGATCATTTCCTGTTCTGTACTGCCTGCTGGGTTGAAGAGACTCGCATCCAGCTCGTCCTGCTGCATTCTGACGTGGCGGACGAAGGGAGATGAGCGTGATTTCCTTCTTGAGAATTCGCGCAAAAAAAGACGTGACATGCATTATTTACAGGAACGACTGTAATACATTCTGTGGACTTTCGTTAGAAGGCGACAATTAGATTTTGGATACCCTTACTGGACATCTACTCCCCAGCACCAATTCTAATTCGTGTCCTTCTCCTCCCAGTTGTGGAAATGTCTTGTGGAATCGAAGGTTCCGCTTCGCCGACATTTGTGTCCCCACCCGCTGGTGGAGCTTGCCAGTCATTGCCGAGGCCCGCCATTTTTCTCCTCATAGCGCTACTCCCGCTCTCCAGGTATTCTGCCCTCGTGACAGCCATCTTTGAGGTAGTAAACGCCCGGGAAGATGCCAACGACACCGCAGCCGTATACGCTTCGAGGATTGCACTGTCCTCTACGATTAGCACGATACTACCGAAAGGCCATTGCTTACTCCTCTGGCTGATAAATAGCAATTTCAGCCTCAAATGGTGCGAAAGACCGAAGTTCTCTGGACCTGCGAATAAAATGAGCGATTGGAACAATAACCACGGGAACAAGAAAAAATGCACAAGCGCTCGCACAGACCAGGAAACTTCGTACTGCCGCCAACCAGGCCGATATTCGCCCAAAACAAGCCTCGCAGATCGTCCGGAAGAAGCGCGATGGATGCGGCGATAGTTTCAGGAAGGCCGACTTGGTCCATACCTGGGGATGCTCATAATTAATTGGTAGGAAGGACAGGAGACCGACCGACCGATGTCGTCTGGCCTGAATAGCACTTCCGGGACGGCAAAGCGCTCATTTCCCATGGTGAGAACCTGGTCAGACTCCAGCGGTATGTCGTCCGGCGCGCGTAGTCGACCGGTCTTCAGTTTGGTCAAGTCAGGAAGGACGTATTCCCGTATAATGGAGTTGTTTTTTCCGCCATGTCTAATCTTCAGTGTCAAAATTAGCTAAATAAAAGCATGAAAAACGCACCGACAAGTCTCCAGATCCGCCTTGAAGTCCGCACTGACGAAGCAGCACGTCTCCTTGACGTGGCTCATAATATATGTCTCGTCCATCATGTTCCATTGCCGGAAGGAGACGAGTTCCTTGAGGTGGTTTGTGAGGAGCTTCCCGCCGACGTCGAGCCTGTTTCGTAGCGTGAGTTGTGGAAAAAAGTAAGGAAAAGCGGCTTACCGCTTGACAGCATTCCAGACAATACGGCCCTGCATAACAGGAACAACGTGTGTGAAGCTGAAGCCGGAGTCCACGATAAGCATGCACTCGGGTAAAGGAGAAGCGAAGAGCGAGCCATAAGGCATAAACGACGCCGCTACGGGCGTGAATTGAGTACGGGGTGAAGAGTGTGGGCTTACGCGTGGCCCTGAGACACGATTTGAACTCGTACTCTTCGAAGATAAACTCGTCCGTCGTGTCCTGGATCTTTGGCAGATTGAAGTAGGGCTCGGTGATCACAAGGGTCGACGTTGTGGGGTTGACCTGAGGTATTTGTGAGTGGCGGCCCGCGGCTTCTGTGGGGGAGGTACGTTCAGGACTTGGTCCGATAGAATGCCGTCCCATATCGCCTTCTGCGCGTCCCAATCGACAATATAACCCTTGGGTGCTGTCATCGAAAGCGAGTGAAAAAAGAACGAGCATACCTTCTCTACGGGGAGCCGATACGCCAAAGAAGAGTAGTCTGTGCACCGCTCGGCCCATTCGTGCCCGACGTAAGTCTCCTTGTCGCCTTTCGAACGTACGATCGCGTTGGGGATGATTCTGCCAACAAGGAGCACTTTTCAGCTGCTTCGCTGGTCCGTAATATGAGGATGAGTACCTGGTAGCGCCCGTCCCAATGACGCCGGCCTTGATCGAGGAGCCGCCGTTGTCGAGCACTACCACTACCATGAAGCCGCGAAGTGAGGTTTAAAGCAAGCTGTGCCCGGTCCCGTGACGTTACTTTCCGGAGCTGACTAATGTAATGTTTTCGTCTTTCGGTCACCATGCATGTCGCACTAGAGCTGTGGGCGAGTGCTTAGCGCTTAACGCCTCCGGTATATCCGAATGTCCGCCACTGCCATCAGTGTGTGAGCTCTCATCTACTACTTCTCTCTCCCAACCTCACAGTGTTTGAAGGAACAACTCTTTGCCCGTGTCACCCTCAGTTGTATGCAGTCAGTAAGCCAGTGATATGCCGGTGTACCATGTATAGTGACTTGACTATACAGCTCCTTCAAGTACACCTGGCTGCAATATTCGAATAGACCCTCGGGCTTATATATCCCGCAGATACCGGCAATCGTATCGCTGAGCTCTCCAACCCGGTTTGTTTCCGAATGCCTCGGGAGTCAGCAGCATATAAAGTTTGTGCATGCGCGAGTTTGACACAAGACATGGCCAAACCGACAGTCCTCGTTCTGGGCGCAACGGGCGAAACCGGTAAGGCGATTCTGGACGCCTTCCTCGTCGATGGAGGATTCGTGGGTCTTTCTTACGCTCAGGCTGTTACCCCCGACATTGAGCTAAAAACAGGACGTTGAAGCTCTTGTGCGCCCATCCTCTGCCAAGAAACCCCAGGTTCAAGCGCTGGGTGTCCCAATCCGTGCCGCCTCTCTCGATGCCCCCATTCCCACTCTCGTAGAAGTCCTGTCGGGCGTGGATATCCTCATCAGCGCGATCGATGGCATGCACACTCTCCAGCAAATCCCTCTTGCTACTGCTGCCAAAACCGCCGGTGTCAAACGGTTCATCCCATCTGCGTTCATAACGGTCGCACCGGTTTCCTCGCCTGTTGATGGTACAATAATGCGAATGCGGGACATCAAAGAACAGGTCTACACCCACATACGCTCGATATACCTGCCCTATACCGTCATCGATGTCGGCTATTGGTACCAGCTCTACATTCCCGCCATTCCCTCAGGCCGCGCGGAGTATGCTGCGATGATTCGCAATCGGACGCAGATTCATGTTGGAGGTGCAGCGAGAAATGCGCTGGTGGACCTGCGAGACATCGCGAGCACGGTTGTCCGGATAGTGAAGGATGACCGCACGATTAATAAGAGTGTCCATGTCTATGGCGATGTTCTCAGCGAGAACGAAACTTTTGCGATGATGGAAGAGTTGTCTGGGGAGAAGATCGACCGCCGTCATGTGTGTAACCTCATTTTCTTCAAGTATAGTGACTAAAACCTCCTGGCAGATTTCTGCTGAGCACATCGCTACGACGAGGGCCAAGTTTGCGGCTGCAATCGCTAGCAATCCGGATGACCTTCACACCCAACAAATGTCTTATGGGCCGGACTATCACTTCAGTATGCACGTCAGGTCTGACAACACCCCTGAAAATGCGGCCTACCTTGGCTATCTGGACGCCGGCACGTTGTATCCGGAGTGGAAGCCCATCACCTTCAGAGATTACCTGCGGGAAGTGCTGGACGGAAAGGCAACAAAACCCTATGGCGAGTGGGCTTTAACGATTGGTAAAAACTTGGACGAATATTAAATGCGAAGGATCTTCATCTCTAACAATTCAAAACTTTGCAACGTGTTGTTTCAACTGGCTAGTAATTTGGTATTCAAGCATTGCCCGTTCGATTAGCAGTCAAATCTCGATTGGACCTGGTCCCTTCCAACAAATTGCTGGTTTGTACGATGTTGAGACCGAGGTCTTTCTCGTCGGACATTCTGCGGCGAATCAGTGTGATACGATGATACTTCTGATGATAACCTCGGAGCGGAAGCTCTTTAACCAATCCGGTGCGGGTTTCGTCACCGGCTTCCACTCCCCGCGCCAGAGCGTCGCTCCTGCTCGACAAGACATCGCACCCTCAGGAATTGCCGGGTATCTAGCCTGCCTCGTGTGTCAAGCCAAGATCTGTTCTTGTCGAATTGCCAAAAACCCGCCTGGATTCGGAACAGGGAATCTGCGACCTCCAAACGGTAACACCAAACGGTAACAATATAGCCCGGTATGGGAGATGCCACTGCATTCTCTCCCCCAAAGTTGACACCACTGCCTAATCTGACCAGGGTTGCATGTGCCCTTGATCAATGAAGCTCGGATCACTCCGCCGAGTGGCAGGCGCATCACTCGTAATATTTCCGTGACGCCGGAAAAGGCAAAGTGCTTATTGGCGTTGTGCACGTGCCCCGCGATCTCCGTGCCTCGTTGCATCAAGCGAAGCAGCCCGCACACCCTCATCTGCCTCGAGGCATTCCGCTCTGACAGATTCCTTCGCTCTTGTTCTCGGGCTTCTCCAGCAACCCTGATTTACAAATAAGCCTCCAAAGGAGCTCCTCGAGTCGGAGGCCAGCTTGGTGGGCTCGGAGGCGGGTCAAAACGAATCAATCAGCCTATCATCGCGATCTCGGTCCTACAGTCCGTCCGATGTTTAGTGCGCCGCCCGGCAATCCGGAGTGTCGATCCCGAGCCGCCCGGTCCGACCTAGCCTAAAATTAGATAGACTATTGAGGTAGGCCGTGGCCTGTGAACAAGGCGGCGCAGCAGGTACACGCAGATCAGGTGCAACTCCAGGGTGCGTTCTTGGACAATCGAAGAAATTGAATTAAGCCGTCAGTTTACATGCGATAAGAGTACCGATTCCCGATAGCAATGTTTGTACAACAACAAAGGGGAAGATAACCGTAGAGTACAACAAGGGTTCCAAAGAAAGTGCAAAGATGAGTGGGAGGAAACTGATAGCATAGGGAGTTGCCGTGGCATTGCGCGGTTGTCGTCCTTGTCCTCAGACATCCCGGCGCTCAAGCCGAGTGAAAGAAACGCCAGTACCCGGGTAGAACATGAGCGGCGGTGACCCAAATCTGTGTCCTTGGTTAATCGAAGGTGACGGAGAGATAAAATCAGCCCACATTGTACCAGAAGTAGTTGCGGCGGTCGTCATCGACAGTGGTCTTGAGGACGAATCTCCCGCCAGCAAAAGCAGCGAGTGCCACAAAAGCAACGGTTGTGAAGATGTCGACCTGCCAGATGAAGGATAGCCCAACCGACCAAGCCATCACACCCGCCATCAAAACAGGTCGCGATGGCGCGCCGAATCGGAGGGGGATCGTGTCGCGGTTGATCTCAGCATCACCAACAACATCTCTGAAGTCTTGTGCGTAGATTGTTGTGGCAAAAATGAGCCCGCTGAGTAGGATGGCCAGCCAGCCCGCGCCATCGAGGTTGGTCTTGTCGTCCCCTGGACCAACGTGAGACAGGGAAACGGGATGATAAAAGAAGGAACACGACATACGTGCAACGAGCGTCGTTCCCGCCTCAAATGCCGCGAAGCCAAGCCCGTTGAGAAGATACCGGGTAATAGCGCTCCTTCCGTTGCCCTTGAGTTCGTTATACATCCACGTGAACAACGCCAACGCCATGCTAGCAAACATTGTCTCCTTGCTGTATGCCAAGCTCAATGCCCAACACATCGGCATCAAGACCCAACGGAGGATCAACGCATGCTCCACAGTGATGCGACCTGCAGGAATCGGCCGGTCAGGTTTGTTCGTCGCGTCTTCGAAGGAAGTCGTTTGGTTAGAAGTGTTGAAAGCGAGGAGGTGGAACCAGAGCCAAAAGACGAGATGTGGGATGTTGGAGGGGGAAGTCAGCGGCGCGGCCACCATTGCGAAGAGAGACTGTAAGCGTAATTGAGTCAGCTTAAAGCCCATCCCTGGTCAGAGAATGCTGCGCACGATGGGGACCATAGTCGTCATGAAGTCGGACTCAGTGAAGAGCCAGAGGGTATTGGCGTGATACGCCACTGACGCCGGAGTCTAGAGGGATCGTCGTCATGAACAATTTAGCGATAATGAAGAAGGAAGCAAAGAAGACACGCACGATCGACATCAAGCGGCGGAATAGAGGAGTCGAGGCGTCCAACCAGTCGGGCGACGATGAGGGGAAAGCGTGATACAAAGTGGTGGCCAGAGAGTGCTTCATCGTCGTCGTCGTCGACTCGTTAAGAAAGGGACAGCCAGGGACTTGGACGGGAAGAGGATGAGAAGGGAAGGATGGGGGGCGGTGGGGGAGGCTGGCCCAGGATGGTGAGCGGTTAAAAGGAAAATGGAGCGTTGCAGGGTGGGCGAAAGTTGTTGCAACATGAGGCCAGGGACATTTTACCTGAAAAGAAACTAGCGTCGAAGAAGCGGTTTCAGAAAAGGACCTTACAGCATCGCACATCCATCAACATCTATTCGATCAGCCGAGGCGTCGCTTATGTTCCCCCTGATTCTTCGGTCCAGGATTGCCGGATGCGGATAAGATAGTCGACAAGCGGACCCGGCCCGTCTTACCTGATCAAGTGGAGTGCAAGGATGCAAACGGTTCCGGACGGCAACGACGCGGTTTGTTCTAAGCTCTAGACCTTGACATCAAAGTCGACGGTGGATCGTGATGAATACTAGTAAGTAGTAGTGCGAATAATGTGAATGTACTGGCACCAAGAGTCAATGGCAGTCATTCGTATGGCTCTTGACTTGCACCTGGCATGGCTGTACTTCGATGCTGATGCTCGCATATTTCGTGCTGATGAACGACAGAGCAGTTCACAATGGACCCACTGCGGCATGATACGGCGTCATCGATAATCCCTGACAATCCCCGCCGGTGAGCTTCCGAGTCTTTCCGTAATGGCTTCTCTGCTCAGTCTTGCATGAAGTTACCATGAACCGATGCCACACTTGAATAGCTCATAAGCGTATGTGGACGCAACGCAGGCAACCCTGTTCCAGAGTCTTCAATTCCTCCGCCGACAGGGCTTGCCGCCGCGATCACATCGCACATCTTGTGAGCATACTTGGAAAATGTTAAATTAGTAGGGCGTCTAGCAACCGCCGAGCGTTGCTTATATACTCTCGAATGATCATGATGGGTTGCGCTTTGATGCTAGTTATACCTCGTACGTCTCGAAGCCGTCTTGACTGAAGCATTGCCAGCAACTAGCAGAGGTTCAAGCCAAGCGGGAGTTCTGGGAGTGCCCGAGTTCTGACGTGTTCTGTGCTGGCTGTCAGCCCAGAGTGAAGTCTGATTAGCGTGAGACTCGCGCTGATCCGAGCTCGCGTGTGCGGGGAAGCCGGGAAGGTGTATGTAAGATTTTGTGGGCATCCTACTAGTCGTATGGCCATCAGCAGGAGACCAGTTCACGAGATTGACTTACTAGCTTCAAGCTGATAACGGAATGCAGTGGAGATATGCATTGGGCGACATAGATGTTCCTAGGGCACCTCTTAGAGACTCTACCACGACGAGGTGGCAGTGGAAAGTGTGAAGCATCGACCCTCCAAATCCCTCTCAAGCGAGTAGAAGCCAGAATGAGTTGAGCGCGACCACCGCCGGAGAATAGAGGGCCGCGGCGACGCTGACAAGTCCAATATTCCGATAACGACCAACTGCTTCGCAAGCTGGCATCGCAAAGTGGTCCAATAGATCTTCGGGTTCGGCGTAGGTTGTGTGCAGGCCGACCTCAGGCTGCTAGTACGACGTGGAGTAGCGTGGAGTGCGAATTATGCCGAGAGCTGTGGGCGTTTCGGCATGGTTCTAGTTCTAGTCTTCAGGATTTGCAAAGCGATATCCTGAAGTGGCGAGTAAGTAATATATCACTTTCGCCGACGATATGCGAGAACCTGAATAGAAATTTGCGCACCATAGACATGGATTCGGGTCGCAATCAACGCCTAGTGCTTTTCGGTTCGGGGTCGTGTTAGCCAACGACTGGCTTGAAGAGAAAGAGTCCCACTGTAGATTATCGTCCATGCCACGAGGAAAAGGAAAATGCCTGCCTCTGCATGCTCATTGCTCAAAGCATTCACGCAATCCGAGTCGTTGGTGTCAACGCCTTGGCTTGCACCAATAGTGTTCCGCCCTCTATCTCAGAGCATATTTCCCATATATTCAGAGTTTGGAAGAGCTAGCTGACCATCGTTGACCATCTTGTTCCATCGCTGACGACGCGTCATGAGAGTGCTGACATGTCATCACGTGCATTTTGCCAGGTTCCTTCATCAACAAACATCTCCTGCTGGTCACGAAATGAGCTCGAGATTCGACAAACCATGATATTGGTCGACATCTGGAGTCTAGCAAACAACAATCGATGAACTTGCGGTGCCAGTCATCGGCACAGACTACTAGTCACCAAGGAACGCTTTTTTTCAGCTGGAAAAGTGTAAGGGCCTTGGGGAACAGGTCCAAGGCCCTTACTGCACGAATATTCTGCCCTCGGGCGTGTGTTTTGCAGTCATGGATAAACTCCGGCTTTCACTCACTCACCGTCGTCTCTCACGCTCCCTATTATTGGGACGGGTGTCGCAAGGTGTCGCCAACAGTTACGCAAACGAGAACTAAGCTGTATACTTGACACGTCCAAGGCTGTCTGTATTATTTCCCTTCCCAACTACCAGGTTCCGCTCGGAGGGAAGACGATGGGGCGTGGCGAAAACCGCACCGGACCAGTGCGTTGGAGGGGGATTCTCGTCTTGAGTCTTCCCTGGGCTATTGTGGTCCTACTGCTTATCTCTTCGCCACTTCTTTCCCGCATATCAGGCCCGGTGTCGCTCGTGCCTTCGCCGCTACCAGGACTTACTAATACCCATCCATGCCCCTCCGTCCAACCGCTGGTCCAGGAGTGTCCTCCTCCACCACCCCCATCTCTGCCTCCTCCCCAACAGCCTCCGCTCTTTGAGCTCTACCATGCGCGCGAAAGACAGCTGCCGCAGCACAACCTTGCCGCTCCATTCCCTGACGGAAACCATGCCAAGTATCTCTGGGTGGACAATCACGGATTCAGTGTGTCATGTCCGCTTTAATTTCCAGCTTTCCGACGCTAACTCGGTGCCTGCCAGGTTTTGGCTGGGGAAACTACATGCAGGAAATGCTCCTCAATGCATACTTGGCATACGCAGCCGACAGAGCGTATGCTATTTCCCCCGCTCCGTCCTTGACGGATTCATTCCTACACTTAACACCCGTGTGGACAGATACGTCTTCGACAACTACACATGGATGCGGGATGGCCCGGAGGTTGTCCCATGGCCCGTGAATGGCCGGCTCATCCCCGCTCGTATACCGCTTTCCGCTTTTATATCTGGTGTGTCTTTCTGCTCAACCCTCCCCATGAAGACCAACAGTTTTAGGCCCATTGGTCGGTGATCGTATGCCTTCATCCTCTCCTCGCGCAGCAGCCATCTCGCAAGAGTGGTACCATCAAGTATGTCCCGAGTCGGAGCGGGTTGTGCTCGATACCCGCACAATTCAGGATACATTCGCCGCCCCGCCAACCGCCAAACAGATCATTGAACGCTGGACGATGGAACTACACAATCTCACCTCGCGCTGTGTGGAATTGTCGAAGACCAGTCCCCGGCTTTTTCACGACGAGTAAGTAGGTATATGATTTAGGGGCAGTCTGAATATTAACTACCACTCAAGACTGATCGGCACTGACCGCGTTCTCGATATATTCCCCTCCCTTTCTGCGTCCCCGATCCTGCAGAATTTCAGCTGGTCGCCATTAATCTTCGGCGAGTTCCTCGCCAACTCACACCACTTTTTGCCCTCAAGCTTCAACTTTACGAGCCATACACTCCTCGCGGCTATTCTCGACACCGAGCTGCCAATCCCCGGACTGCTGGTGCTCCATGTCCGCCGTGGGGACTACGAAATATGGTGTCCAGAAGCTGTCGCAAACGGGCTTGCCTTCACAGGCTTCAACCGCTTCCCCCAGCTCTCCGACAAGTCTCCTGCCCCAAACGCACTCTCGCGCTGTCTACCGTCCATCCAAGATATCGCTAATAAAGTGCGTGATGTCGTCTCCGACCAACACGCCGCCGGGCTCCCGCCGCTGACGCGGGTGTATGTCATGACCAATGCAAAGAACGACTGGCTTGCCTCGCTCGCTGAGGCGCTGCGCGCCATCCAGATTTGGAAGGATGGCATTGGGACAAGCCGCGAGCTCTCGCTCTCGTGGGAGGGCCGGCATGTGTCGCAGACGGTGGACATGGTCGTGGCGCAGCGCGCGGAGGTCTTCGTTGGGAATGGGGTACGATGTTTCTCAGGCTGTTTGCCTTGTCGCATTTGGTACTGATCAGTATTTCCCCCAGTTTTCAAGCCTGACTTCAAACATTGTAATGCTTAGGATGCACAATCCGAAGTTGGATCCAAGAAATATACGCTTCTGGTAAAGGATGCTTATAGAGGCAAGACCTAAGAATAAGTAATTGTAGGATCATATTATTACAACTTGAAGACGGAACGTCGTCCAACCCAGTTTGCTAGTCGTGACGACAAATGCATGACCTTTGCATAAACTGAGAGGAAGGAATGCTGCAGTTGGGGATTCAAGGTTCTGGCGGTTGAAAACTTGAAGCTGTTGAATGTATTGTTCTTCGCGCCGTTAATGCGCCAAGAGCGGGAAACCTTGAACCATCGCAGCGATAGAGCGTCTAAGAAGTCGTGCTCGTAGTCTTATAGACTGGTCGGACCACCTAGTCCTGACTGCACTCATTGAGAAGAGCGACAACACAACGGCGGCGAAATTCAAGGTGACATACCAGCACGTGCCTCCAAATCAATTTTCCTTGTCCTTGACCACATCGTTGATGCGCAGAGAACGTGCTCGTGAGCGCGAGCTAACCCAAAATAGGTCAGCAACACCACTCCCAGCAGCCATAAGCTAAGTAAGTGTGCGAGGGTCAATCCATACCCAGGACTTGGAGGGCAGGTGGTGGTGGTATGTGTGATGTTGGGTGTATGGGGCGCAAGGGCTACGGCAGCGAGGGACAAGGCGAGAGCGACGGCGAGGGCTCCGGGTCGGACGGACATATCGGAGATAGCGACGGAACTTAAATCATAAACTCGGGGAGCTAAGAACTTATAGAACTATGGAATACAGGCCTTTTATATACCGTAATAAAATCAAATGACTCCGAGGGCGAGTCAGACGAGTTCCGGGGCGGCGCCCGATGAGTCAGTGGGCCGGCGACGCGTCGCCGTCGAGCGCGTGAACGCGTTTGATGCGCGTGATGCCGCGGCGTGATGACGTGATCTTGCTTACGCAGCGCCGGGATTACTTGCTCCGCGCACAGCCGGAGTCGAGTCTCAACATCTCCTCCCAACTGAAAAAATGACTGTCCCCAGTCATCCGCGACCGAGGAAACGCGACACGGCATGAACCCGACCGGACCAGGAAGCTGCGTGACCGTGATGACGTGGCTGTGTACCTTCTGATTCTTGACCACGACGACGAGGCGACGGCGGCAGCGCAAAGCTGCCAGCGAGGGCGACGGGTGCGTGAACCGGGACTCGAGAGCGAAGACGAGGATGGCGGGATAGTGGAGACACAGGCGGAGATGCATTGAGCAGGCGCTGGAGGGAGAAGCGGGGCAAAAGGTGTGTCGCAGTGGGATCCTCCCAACTGAAATACTGACGCGGTCCGATAGTGCGACGCGTGTGGACAATGACGAAACTGCGGAGGGTGACAGGAACGAGCGGGATACCGAGAATGAAGGCCAAAAACCGGGGCAAAATCACCGTAGAACGAAACAATCGACAATGGGCCTCTTCACAAACGACGACTCTCGAGCGCAAACGACTCCTGCGGAATACGAGGCGGAATGAGGAACGACCGCTCGATGTGCTGCCGCTGGTTGGGCAGCAACAACGACGGTGACGGCGCCGGAATGTCTATCGCGTGAACTCGTTGGAGCTTGGAACGATGAGCACGCAAAACCGCAAGCTCGGACTCGATTTCCGCCATTCTCTGGACATCTGTCAGCGGTAACAGCACGCTAGGCAACTCGATTGGGCGTTTAGTTGGCTCTACACGCGAAGTACTCGGCGCTGAAGCGGCGACTGGGGCGGCAAACGGCGGGGGTGTCATTGGGCGGCACAATTCGATTCGAGAGCGTAAATCCGGGCCGACAATACTGTGCGGGACGAAACGGCCGTTGGGCAAGACAACCTTGCCTTCCGCGTTGCGCTTGCAAAAGCCGGACGCGAGATCGAACGTGAGACGGGGGCAATCGCGGATCCAATGTGTGGGATCACTGCAGTACGAGCAGTTCGAACGAAAGCGCGGAGGCGAAGGCGGCGAGTCGAGACGTGAAGCGGGAGGGTCACTGGGCGAGCGGGGAACGGTGGTGCGTGGCATATTCCCGGTTATAAGCGATCCTGACTCTGATTCTACAGCTGACGACGAGGACGACTTGTTTTGCAGCAATACACGGTCAATGGCGGCACGAACGGCTTCAAGTGGGTATGTGTCGTCGACGTGGACGTCCGGAAAGCGCAGTTCGAGTTCCTGGTCGACCGCGGGGCGAAGTGTGGGCGGTATGGCTCTGACAAGGGCTTGGCTCTGCTCAAAACTGGCGAGACGATGTTTGGAGCGCAGAAAGGACGAAGCGCGCCAGAAATCGCGATAGAACACGCAGAAATCGGTTCGGGAGGGACGTTTAGAAGCGGCGAAGGCAGCAACAAGAGCTTCGAGGCCAGCGGCGGAGTAACGGCGGTCTAGGTCGGCTTCGGGATACAACGCAAAGACAGCGCTGGCGAAATGGGCAAATGAGGCGGCGGGGTCGCGGAACTCAGGCAGAAACTCCCACAGCTCTTGGTCAATGAGCTCGAGGTATCGCGTAGCATGGTACTTTTTCTGCTGGTCATCAACGACGCTGGCGCGGACGAGAAGGAATTCGAGGTCGGCGAAGAATTTGGGCAGGTCTCGGGGGCGTGCTGAATCGAAAACCGGCGCGATACGGTCTCGGCGAGCGGGCATCGGAAGCGGGATTGGACCAACAGGTGCTTCGAGGGCGACGGGAGCGGGAACGGGAACAGGAGGCGCTGGGGGAATAGATGAGCCATGTGCGGCATGCGGTGGATTCAGGCCGGGCGGTAATGCGGCTTCGCGCGGAACTCCAGACGAAGGGCTAGACGAAGGGCTAGGCTGGGCGATGGGAACGGGAACAGAACTGAGCGCGGGAGCGTGAGCGGGTGCAATATTCGAGTATGATGGTGGTGAGGGTAGAGCAGAATGTGAATCTGTAGAGGCCAAGCGACGCGAATGCAAAGCAAGCTTGATGTCGATAGGTTTGTGAGTAAATGAATGAGTGCCTGGAGCACTGGACTGGGCCCCTCGCGGTGGGCTCCAATATGATGCGCAGAGAACGTGCTCGTGAGCGCGAGCTAACCCAAAATAGGTCAGCAACACCACTCCCAGCAGCCATAAGCTAAGTAAGTGTGCGAGGGTCAATCCATACCCAGGACTTGGAGGGCAGGTGGTGGTGGTATGTGTGATGTTGGGTGTATGGGGCGCAAGGGCTACGGCAGCGAGGGACAAGGCGAGAGCGACGGCGAGGGCTCCGGGTCGGACGGACATATCGGAGATAGCGACGGAACTTAAATCATAAACTCGGGGAGCTAAGAACTTATAGAACTATGGAATACAGGCCTTTTATATACCGTAATAAAATCAAATGACTCCGAGGGCGAGTCAGACGAGTTCCGGGGCGGCGCCCGATGAGTCAGTGGGCCGGCGACGCGTCGCCGTCGAGCGCGTGAACGCGTTTGATGCGCGTGATGCCGCGGCGTGATGACGTGATCTTGCTTACGCAGCGCCGGGATTACTTGCTCCGCGCACAGCCGGAGTCGAGTCTCAACATCGTCAACAAACTACAAACATTCCCTCACCACGTCGCATGGCCGACAGCAAGCGACAAACCCAAAGCTGCCTGATACCCTTCCCCGACGCTTCGCGAGATCCAAGGTCAAGTAAACAGGCTGACGCGGATGGACCATGAGGTCGAGGTCGTCCACAGGTGCGCTTCTTCATCCCCGACATCGACCCACGAGGCTGAGCAATGACCACATTTTTGCTCCAGCCCTCGCTATTTCAAACCCAGTCTCTCCCGTTTGCATGCCCTATGGGCTCCCGGTGTTGTGCATTCGTCGTGAGGGAGTAAACTCTCAAATCATACATTGTTCCGAAGATTGCCTGCACCCTCTCTCGCAACCGGCCGCATTCCCGCTCCTGGCTGGTCACTGCGGGGTCGCCTGAACAGTAAAATCTTTGCGGTATCGGTGTTGACAAAAGAGGTACGAGGCGGCTTCTTTTTAGTTTCTTGCTCGAAATCTCACCTTCATCACGTAGTTCTGCTAGAATGACGAGGACCATTGGTTTATCGCCGTTCTTTTGCACCAAAGTGACAAAACTCACTTCTTGCCCTACTCAGGACCGTTTCATATCGTCGACAGTCTCGCTCTCAGGCAGGAGGCACCCTACGAGGAATCGTGGCATGTTGGTCAAGTACGTTGTTCTATGCTGTCCTGTGCATACTGTTGCTGACATCTCTATTTAAAGTGTTTGACCAACGACACGCCTAGTTTTTCTTCTTGAACTCCATCATATTTGCCACCCATAGTCCCTGCAATATGTGCAAGTCTCACGACCCAGGCGAAAGGTTGGATTGCTTCACATAGCCGCAAGCTCTGGGAGGGACAAGATGTGTGTGGCACAGATAACGGGGTCCTTGTTAGAAACAGGGTATGTCTTGACTTTCTGCATCTGCAGAACTAATGTTTCTCTGTGAAGCCCGACTTCGAATGTTACGATTCTCGGTTCCCGCAATGCAGCGTTTGGACCCAGCAACCTACGATTCCGGTCGAAGAAACATCACAAGAGTGTACATAGATATTTATTTACTGGTACACAACAATGAGGGACATAGACCACTCCTTCGTTCTTTTCGTCATTCAAACTTGGATGCAGACCCCATCGATAATCCACTCCCATACGGCGGTATTCCTTCCACCTGCGGTAAGCGCTTGCACAAACTTCCTCTCCCCCAGTCGCTTCTCTGGGATCGGCGCCCCCTTGCCATCGCCGATGTCCGCGCGCCATGCACTCCCGCTGTTGATGGCCCATGCATCGAGGAAATTATTAGTAGTAGGCTGCTCCTGCTTGGGCATGGCGGTCATAGCAAATTTGTGCAGGGCGGGGAACGCGTGTGCAAGAAAGGAGCTCAGAAGAGCGGCCGTCGTTGCAGTCATGGGCAAGCGAAACTGTTGAAGAGCCAGAGATGAGATAGTTGGGAAGATGGGCCAGGCAGACAGCTGCTTGGCGGTGAAGTTGCAGAGAACAAGCTCGAGATGGGGAGGAAGATCGGTGCGGGCGAGGAGGGCTAGCGAGCGGGGGAGCGCTTGGTCCGGATAGAGAGCGACTTGCTTTAGAACAGGGAAGGTCTCGGGAACCTCGGAGGTGGAAGCGATAAGAAAGTTCACAAAGAGTCCGTGTCCGCCAACCAGTTCCAGGGCGGGCATCGGTTTCATAAGCACATTTGCCACTGGATTCGCGTCGGTTGAGGACTGTCCGAGCGAAACAATATCCCTCAGCGTCCGGGCATGCCTGTTGCAGAACCCCAGGAATGATTCAAGAGGTATGTTCCTCGCATCTCGACCGACTTGAATTTGCTTCAGGTTGGGCAACAGCAGTGTGTCCACACCGAATATCGCGGTCCAAACAATTTCGGGAAGGTCAAGTGTTAGAACCAGGTGTGTGATGTATTCTGCGTTGACCAAGACTACTGCCCACGTCACGGTCGCCGGGTTCCCGAGGGTCATCGTGCTGGTCAGAATCGTTGTGAGGGCCTGGATGGTGGGGCCCATTTGCTCTGAGCCATCATGCATGTTGTGTCGGATTATGGCTTTTGTTCTGCCGCTGTGTGGATTCCAATGTCGGAGGTCATTTACCCGGGTCGTGACGAGCCCATCGCGTGCGACAACCACGGCGTTTTCGGCACCAAGACAGACTGCGTGAAGCAGCTTGGGCAGGGAATTTGCTAAATGCCAGCCCAGCGGGGGGTGGAGGAGGTCGTGGCCAAGGTCAAGAGAGGCGGAGTGGATGGGAAGGGAGGGAATGGTAGAGATAAGTCGTTTCAGGTCTTTGTGGGTAGCTTGGGTAGACGAGTGGTATTCGAAGTCCAGTCCAGAGCTGAAGTGAGCAGAGTTGGGAAGTGCTGCCGCAAGATTCAGGATGGAAAGGTCATCAACAGATGTGCATCGCACTTTGCTCTCGCTCGTACTAGTAGTACCGTCCGGCGACTGCGTCGGCAGAACGAGATTGTAACGACGCAATAGCTCTTCCGTCGCCAACTTGTAGAAAAGTTTTGAGACGGCTGCTAGATAATGCAAGGTTGCGTCGTCGTGGATTAAGGACACAATGATGAATAAAATGTCCGTGGGTAGGAAGTCACTGGCAGTGGAGTTAGGATTCTGTGTATTCTCCGAACGCCGTTGGGGAGAAACCCAGTTTGCTAGTCGTGACGACAAGGGCATGATTGGTGTGGGGGGGAGAGGAAATTGAAGACTAGTGAGCAGTTCGGTGTCGGGTTATCTGGCAGTGAAAAGGCTGTCGAATGTATTGTCCTTTCTTTGGTAGTGTGGAGCTTGTGGAGAGCGGGAAGGTATCATATCATCTGCGGCTTAACTAGCTCGTCTGCTCGTGAGAGGTAAGGATCATGAGGTGAGCTCAACTTCTCAAATCTGAATCAGGTAAACTGGGGACTTGGGAGTAAGACAGGCCAGTGTTACTCTCGTATTTGAGTCGCGCCCAACCCTCGGCGAAGCTGCCGGCTCGGGCTCGACTGAGAAGTGTTACTAGTAGATCGCGTGCAATGTTGCATGTGAGATGCGTCATACACTGGCAGGGAAACTTGAAGCAGAAAGAGTGACCGGTCACGTGTGACTAAATCCCTCGCGCTGATGCAGCCTTCCAAGTTCGTTCAGGCCAAATGGCGCAAAACAAATATTCGTTTTTGCACGAGTTTAATCGATTCGGACATATTGACTCATTCAACGCCAAGTATGGACTTTCAAACGTGAAAATCGAGACAAATACTAGCGCCGTCTAGCGGAACCTTCAACCCTCAGCCTGATTCCGCCCAGAATCCTCGAAAGTCCCAGGGCTTTTCTGCATCCCCATGCGAGACCCAGCCCAATTGATTTGTCAACACAGCCGCGATGCGGATGAAGACTGTCCCGTCGACGTTCTTTGCACCTGGATGTGTTTCCTTTCCTGCAGCATCGACCGCACCGGGCATGCCACCTGCCTCTGTATTTCCGAGGCGTTGAGCGGCGTACACGAGTGCGCGGATGGCCTTGACGACGTGGACCTCGGTGTGGAGATTGGCGTTCGCGATGAGCGGGAACCAGACGCTGGCGCCCGGGATGACGTGTTTTGGGACTGATGGGAGCTTCATGACGACAGAGCAGTCTAGTTTGGGCGTTCCTCGAAGGAGAAGCACCAGCAACGACGAGCGAGCATGCGTCACCAAGAGCTGGGCCTTCTGAAGCGGCGTTTCAAGGAGGGAAATGATGGGACGAAGCCCAAGGGCGGACGTGAGCAGGTGCATAACGAGAAAGTCCATTCGAGGCTGCTTTCCAGCAGGCGTAATGCCCCCGACCAAGAGCGCACATTGCCAGAGCGCTTCGTCCAGCTTTGACTCAATGTCTGTGGATGAGGCAAGGTCGAATGTCCATTTAGAGATGATGTCGCGAATCGTACTTCCATTTGAAGGATTCCCATTGACCCAGTCGACGAGCTTGGCGAAAGTTACGCCAGGGCCAGGCAGGCCGGGAAACGGCATGTTTGTTATGTTTGGGTGGTCGTAAAATTCACGGAGCAGAGAAAGTAGGGATGTGGAAGTTACCCCAGAGGCTGTAGTTATAATTTCGGGCAAGCCAGACGGTTCCATGACAACAGCTCCCTCGGGCGAGGTGAGGGCAGTCAGAGCAAGGGCTTGTGCGACCATGTGGTTCTGACCAAACTCAATTCCAAACTAAAATATGCTCAGTTGTGCACTGGAGTACAAGGAAGCAGCACATACTGCAGCCTGGATGATTGGGTGCACAATCCCGCCAAAGAAACGTGCAAGCATCATGACACCATTGCCGTTTGCTTCGGGCGAGAACAGATATTTCGTCAGGGTTCTGGGGACACCGTTAATCGCAATGCGTTGAGCGAAAAACTCGAGGTAGTCAGCGTAAAGACGAGCGCTGTATGTAGTTAGCAGCAGTTTCAACAAGACAAGACAACGGACTTTTTCTCGCCCAAGGTATCTTTCCAGTTTTCCTCATTAATGGCCCCAGCCTTTCGTTCTATCCGTTCTGTCTCCGTTTTGCCGTGTAGAAGGTTCCGCTGCATTTTGACTTCGAAATCATTCATGTGTTGGATGGCCTCTTCGGATGCACCAAGGTCGTACATCGATAACAGACTGCCAAGACAGGTGAGAATTAGGTGAATATATGCTAGACGGACGTACTGGTGCGCCAGATGGTCGTGGAAAAAGGCGTCATTGAAGAAGCAATGGTGTTCATGAAAGTCTTTGTACAGCAGTTTGGCGACTAGTGTGGCACCCTGAGGTGTTGAGCCGGGGATGTTAACAAGGCCTTGAGATAGTCGAGCAGGATGGGGAAAGGAGTCCATTGAAGGGAAGCCGAAGAAGATTCTGCAGCTGCTTCAGTTTTATGTTCTCGACGAAAGCTTTCACAAATCGCTGCTTAGTCGCTGCGTAATACGCTCGTTTGGCGCCGCCAAAGAAGATGCCAGCGCCATATACTTAGTCTTCACAACGGCTGAGGATGACGCGGTCGGCAGCATTCAAGGGGAAGCTTGACAAGAGTGGTTGACTAAAGGAGGTCGGCTTACCTCAGCGTGGGTCACGGGTATCATTCCTTCCTCCTTCCGCAGCAAAGCAAAGGCAAAACCGATTGCATCCTCTGCAAATCTTAGCGGGTGATGTCGGGCCACTCATTGCCAGCGGGGCATCCTCTCAGCGAAGAACTTACTAGTCTGCGCGCTGCCGTTCTCCGGTTCCAGGTAAGTTTGCCTTAAAGCCTTTTGCCTTACACTCGTCGGTCCGGCTTAAGCTTACGAGCGTTCGCGAAGTAGACAGAGGCCCACGCTTCCGCACTCAACCTCCAGCATCACGTACTCTCCACGTCTGCCCTCAATGAACGCGTCGCCCAGCTTGAGGCAGACAATGCACTTCTTAGCACGGAGGTCGAGGTTCTGCGTGCCAATCCCAGTCCTTCTACTGCAGAAACCTCGCCAAACGGTCAAGAGACGGTCGCAGAATTAACCCTCTCACTTCGCCGCCTTTCTGCCAAATTGACGCTGACGGAATCGTCCTTGGCAGAGGCCACCCAAACCCTTGTTGCCCAAACCAACTCCGCTCGCGAGGCGGGTCATGCCGCGAGCGAAGCGTACGCGCTTGCTGCCCGTGCTCGGGCCAGAGAAGAAGAATGGCGGGTGGTGGCAAACACACGGGAACGGGAACTGGACAGCGCCAAAGAGGAGGCACGGTTGAGCGATCTGGTGGTGCGAGAGTACGCGGGCCTCGTCAGGACGCTCGAGGGCCGCAAAAGCACAACATCGCTTACCACAAGCCCGGTCATCAAGACTTTTCAAGACAGCACTACCACCCTGGTCGAGCCCAAGGAGACCATCGAGTCGCAAAAGACCCAGTTAGCAGAGTTGAAGTCCGCTTTAACAACGCAAGCTGCTGAATATTTTGCTCAAATCAACGCTCTCGAAAAAGAACGGGATGAGACAAATGCTAGATTCGGCGCCGCCAATGCCCTCACGGTGGAACTCGGAGAAGAATTGGCCAAGGCCAAATTCGAGGCAGAGCAAGCGAAAGTAGACGATAAAAGTGCAGCGGGCATGGTCGAGCGCTACATGTGCGTTTTCCTAGTTTCTCTTCCCCCCATTTTCATAACATGGATAAATCCTAATGAACATTGCTTAGGAAATTCACCCAGCAAACCACACAATCGTTACATTCCTCCCTCAACGCTCTTCGAGAAAGACATACTGCCACTACTTCTACACTCACTGCTCAGTTATCGGCCCTTGCATCTCAATTATCGATTGCCAAAGCCGACATTGAACGATTGCGAGCGGCACTAGACGAATCTGGTGGCGCTTTGGTGCGAGAAACTGTGGGACGACGAAGGGAAGTTGCATTGCGCATGAAACTTGTCGCGAGGGAAGAGCGGGTCGTGGACTCGCTGAAGGAAGCATTATCATCAAGTCATAACAATGCTGATGCAATGGAGCCGGCCCTTGCCCAAATCTTGGTCATGCTCGATGGACAGGGGAATGAAGGAAAAGAGGGTCGAATGCAACTTCTCGAAAATGCTGTCCAGATGCTGGTGGGCGAGCTAGAAGAGGAGACCAAAAATAAGGCGGTGTTGGATCGCGACGGCAAGAGTCAAAAGCAGAACGAAACGATGGATTTCGAGGACGTTTCAGAGGCTCGCCAAGCGATGAAAGAATCCGAAAAGGGCACGGAAATGCCGCTAACAGAGCCCGATGATAACGACCTCGAGGTTGTGGTCAGCAGAGAGGAACTCGACAACACGGAGGATTCACTCTCACCCATGGGCCCCCTTGAAAACATAGACGCCAAACTTTCATCTTTGCCTCCGACACCACCTCGTTTTACAGACAGCTCGAGTATATTCCCAACGGAGTCCACAATGCCGGAAGCCCTTTCGGTCGGGCCAATCGCAACCACAATACCACCAAACACAACAAATGCATCGGAATTGACACCGCATCCGACTCCAGATTCGCCTTCCAACGCAAATATATCCATCGCTTTTGCTTCAGCATCATCCTCGTCGTCTCTTCCCAGACGTCATTCTTCATCTTCACCTCCTTTAGAGACTCTATATTCGCCAACCCAAGTATCACAGCCGAAAATAGAGAATCCTCTCCTTGTCCCGTTGTTCATTGCGGGAGAACGATATGCGGAACTCCAAAATGCGTTCAAAAAATGTCATTTGGTGTTACAAGAACTGAAAGGCCGTCTGCAAGCCCAGGCTCCACAAACTCAAACGCAAAAAGACCTTGTTCTGAATGCGGCCCTCGAGCGATTACACGACTACACCGAAGACGCGCGTGTCGAACTGGAAATATGTGTTGCGGATGGAGAAGTTGTGCGGAGAGGTTGGGAAGCAATTGCGGTTGGTGATATCCAGCATCGACAAGAGGATGTTTCCAACGAAAAGGGGCACAACGAGATAAATGCGTTTGTGGAACGGGAGACACGCGTGCAAGCGGGTTTTAGGCGGAAGGTGGTGGATGTAGAGCACGACGTGGAAATTTTGAAGCGGTTGATGGATGGGGAGTTGGATCAAGTGGATTTGGAGGGAGAAATGCATTCGCCTGTGTCCCCAACACCGTCGATTTCACCCTCGTCATCGACACCGACGTTTTCGAATATAAAGCGACCTTCTTCACCATACACGTATAGCTATAACTATACTCCTCCTGGTCCAGGCGAGGCACAAACTTTCGGAAGTTTAATGACGAGTCCCAACTCGTTACGGCGGGAGGCCAGTGTTGGCTCTCTACGGCGGGAAGCGAATGGCAGTCCAAGCTCGACTAGGGTGTCGCTCTCTGCACTTTCGACTCCTGCAAGAACCCGACCGAAAACAGAAGCGCGCAGTCCGTTTGAGGGGCTAGGGCTACGAGTGCCCATGCCCGCTTTCGTTGGGGGTAACCATGTTGCATCGCCGTCAGGGTTAGGGTTGGCGAAAGAGCCGGTTAGGCAACGGACTGTGTCGGGTGTGTTTATGCTCGGCCTGGGCTCAGCAGGAGAAAGGGCTGCTCGTGGAAGGCGTCCGAGCGGCTTTGGGTTGGGTCTGGGTCCGCCTGGAGGGCAAAACGGTACTAGTATTAATAGTGCTACTTTAAGCTTGGGTGGGGATGTGGAGTAGAATTTAGGACGCCGCTTCATTTACAAACTCAGGGAAATGTTATCGTAGTAGAATCTACTGTATACTAATGCTTTGCTTAAGTGCTAGGTTGCTCTCTCTTGGGGTTTCACTGGTAGTTATTCTTCTTTTTTTATCTTTTTGAAGTGACACCACGTGACTTGTGATGCTGACCAAGCTTGTCTAAGGCGTCCATCATCAACCAATCCCTCACTGAAAAGCGGCAAGCTCTTGGCTCAATGGCGCTTGGATGGTCATGGCTGGCCATCATACAATGCGCATGCCGCCAGCCAGCGTCAGGTTATGCAGCACCATGACTCCGAGTCCGACACCGTCAACAGTACTTAACCTGTTCCATTCAAGTTTCTGACGGCCGGCCCGACGTCCTGGCTCCAGCAGCTTCACGTCATGTATCCTTCCTGACGAGCTCTTTGCGACGTTTTGGTCTTGAATCAAGCCATTTATGACCTGTGGGCTCACCTGTTTACGCACTCCAAGCCTCCAAGTTCCAAGTTCGGTTCAAGGACAACCCGAAGTTCTGGCCGAGATTTGACGAGAAAGCGGATGGACTCCCGAAAATGCGGGACGATAACAAAGGATCCGCTTAATTCACGTCCGACAGTGCTTCAAATCCGATGTACTCCCAGACGTAGACCAACTGGCGGGAACTGCAAGCAAGCAAACCTATGTGCACCAGCCGTATTATCCGAAGAATTCCAGGGTTGATATGTACCTTCGCTTTCAGAGCTGATTCTCATGACATTGGCACTGCATCGTGACCTCGAATAGGACGAAATCAATGTCGAAACATGTACAACAGCCGCGCAGCCTGCGGCCCGGGATAAAAAAACATGCGCAAACCTCACGGCTTGCAATCCAAATAAGAGAATTTCTGCGGGTCGCCCTACTGGTCGTCACTGACAGCACAAATCAAATGTCGACTTAGTGCTCGGCGTTCAGTTCGCTTGCAGCATCGCATGGGTTTAGGAACTTGGGGCATGAATTTTCCCGAGCATCTGGGTCATGCACTGAAGCAGGGAAGCATTGGCAGTCGAGAGTGTGGGTACTTCTGGCGGAGAAGCTTATCGAGCCGCCCGTTCGGCCTAAAAATATTGTTTGCATACCAGTTGTGCCATCATCACAGAGATGGATGACAATCCGACTCTTCCACCTCCCCAGAAATTCCACTCTGAATGGAATTCGTTCAGAAACTTCTCCGCTCGAAACGATTTCGTCGGCCATCCCCCCATGACTACGAGCTCCTTCTCGGCACCAACACGCCCTCTCAGTCAGCTATTGGCCCCGTCGGAGTGAGAGGTCGTACGGAGGGCCGTGAAATAGCAGGATGGAGCCTGCGCTGGCGCGGAATTTTTGTCTTGAGCCTCCCTTGGCTTATCGTCGTACTCTTACTTTTCTTCCCCCGGCACTCTCCTCCTATAATCTCAGAAACCTCGAGTTCCCCATCCCTACCGCCAGCGCGGCCATCGCCGTCTCCCGCTGAACCCGAGTCGGACGATTGCCCTGCACCTCCTTCGCCTCCGCCTCCCAGACAACCTCCCCTCTACGAACTCTACCATGCACACGAGAGGCTACTTCCCCAGCACGACCTCGCCGCCCCCTCCCCAGATGGGAAGAGCGCAAAATATCTTTGGTTCGCAAACCATGGGTCGGGTATGTGGTCGACGATAAGCTTTCTCATGCGCCTTACATCACTGTAATTTAGGGTTTGGCTGGGGCAACTATATGCAGGAGATGGTCCTCAACGCATACTTGGCTTACGCGGCAAACAGAGCGTATGTCCAGCCACTTTCTTCTTTCTCACGGGGTTAACGCTGCCCGCGACGTCGACAGATACGTCTTCGACAACTACACCTGGCATCGCGAAGGACCAGAAATTACTACCTGGAATGGCCATCTTATTCCGTCACGAATCCCTTTGTCCGCCCTGATATTTGGTCTGCATTGCCTTTTCAAGTTGCTTGATGCTCCATACTAAGCTGTTTCAGGCCCCATGATAGGCAGCCCAATGCCCGCATCGTCGAAAAACATCCCGCTCTCTATTTCACGGGAGTGGTACCTCCAAGTCTGCCCAGAGTCCGAACGCGTCGTGATTGATACTCGAAAGATACAAGACACGTTTACCCAACCCCCGACTGCAATGCAGATTGTCGACCGCTGGGTTGCGGAGTTGCACCAGATCGATGCGCGCTGTGTCGAGCTTAGGAGGGACAGTCCGGGGCTCTTTACCTACGAGCGAGTGCATTTATGCTTTCCTGATCTACAATACTGACCCATCCAACGGCACAGGCTGACCAACACGGAACGCGTGCTGGATGTTTTCCCCTCCATGTCCGCCTCTCCCATCCTGGCCAACTTTGGCTGGTCTTCACTGGTTCTCGGAGAATTGCTCGCGAATTTGGCCCACTTTATGCCGGCGGCGTTCCAGTTTTCTGGACCGGGAGTCATGCTCGACACGCAAGCTCCAATACCGGGCCTCCTGGCTCTCCACGTCAGCCGCGGTGACTATGAGACATGGTGTCCCGAGGCTGTCGGTAACGGTCACGTATTCACGGGCTTCAACCGCTTTCCAGAGCTCCCCGATAAAACACCCTCCCCCAAAGACGAAAACGGAGTTCGACACTGCTTACCATCTGTGCAAGATATCGTGGACAAAGTGCGCAGTATTGTTGACGCTCGCAGGGTCTCCGAACTGTCACCACTGACGCGGGTATATGTCATGACTAACGCCCATGCTGACTGGCTCGCGTCACTCGTTGAGGCCCTACTCACAATCGGGATTTGGAAAGATGGTGTTGGGACGAGCCGCGAACTCTCCCTCTCGTGGGACGGCAGGCACGTCGCTCAGGCGGTGGATATGTCTGTTGGTCAGAGAGCGGAGGTCTTCGTCGGGAACGGAGTACGTTTTTTGCCTCAAAGAGTGACTTTTCCACTGACGAATCGACTAGTTTTCGAGTCTAACCTCGAATATCGTCCTACTCAGAATGCATAATAGAAAGCTGGACCCTCAAAATACACGTTTCTGGTAGACACTCAAACAGGACGATAGACAAACCATTCCGATTACTTATTTGCTGTCAGTGAACTGTACTACTAGTACTGTAGTTACTAGTAGTACTAAGTAACGGTACTTTTACAATACTCTAATACAGCCTGAGATTTCGCCCATCGAGAGTATCGTGAAACGAAAAGAGCGAGTTCCTTTATCCATACCATATAACTCCGTCTTTGCTACCGCAGAACATAATCTGGCGCAGAAAATAATGAAGGATGGGCCTGGATGGCCGATCAATGGCACCGACCGATCAACGCCGGCTGAGTCATCCTCCTCAACCATACCTTCACTCTGCTCTCGACATTCATTCTCTCGTTCCCGTCGCCGCTCGTGGCCATGTAGGTATTTATTTCTCCATACCGCTAGGAACAGCTCACCAACACCGCTTTAGAACTATCTCCTAGCATACCATTCCGATACAACTTAGAATCGTAGGACATCATATCGCAGTGGACAGCGCATTCAACTTAAAGCTGGCTTTACCGACTCAGATGTCTCAACCCAAGATTGGAAACGACGCCGCTGTCGCACTAGTGCTACCACGGGTAGCGCCATTGAAGTCTGTAGGTGTCCGGTGAGCTTTCAACTTGAATATTTTCTTTGCCATCCCGATTGTAAAGCTGATGGTGCCTTTTCAGTTTCACGCTCAAACATAGCACACGGCCGCAGCTATTTATACGCTCAATGCTGTCAAATCCTTTGAGTGCAAACCCATCCTTGCCACGGTCTGTCTGTCCAATTTAGATCGCCACCGCAGCTGAAATCTTTCTCAAAAAACGCAGGTCAACTCTGTCAATATCCCTTCACCACATACCCATCCTCATCAACAAAGGCTGCGTCGTTGGTACATCCAAAGGATTTGTCTCGTGAGTAAGCATCTATCCGCGCGTCGTTGTTTTGTTTCATTGTGAACTCATTTGTTACTGTCCATTCACGGTAGATGTGTACCATGACCGGTCAACCCCGCTTTCCTTGTGGCAAATGTTGAAACAGACGCCCACCAGAATGAAGTTCACCCCATGTGCTCTTTTCAGTGCTCGCGGACAAATTTGCGTCCGACATAGCGCTATTTATGCTCCATTGAATGCACGGACTGGTACATAAAATGCGTTCCTAGTGAGCACTTTCTCCAGGTCCACCCATTGCCAGTCATTTACCGCCTTTTTTTTTTCTTTGCAGTGCGATGGTCTGCTTCGCCAACGCTGCTTGGAGCTTTCTCTTCTCCGTCTCTGTGGCTTACGCTGCAATTGGGCCTGTTGCTGAGCTTGAAATCGTCAACAAAATTATTGCGCCAGATGGCTTCAGCCGTTCGTGAGTTGTTATTCCCTTATGTTTTGAAATCGTTTATTGACTGACATGTAATCAGGGCAGTATTGGCTGGGGGGACTTTTCCTGGCCCTCTCATTCGTGGCAATAAAGGCAGCAACTTCGAGCTCAATGTCGTCGACGATCTGACAGATAGCACCATGCTCAAGAGCACAAGTATTCACTGGTATGACATATTTACTGGCTATCACTTTAATCGCTAAGATACCCCTGTAGGCATGGCATTTTCCAGTCGGGAACTCCTTGGGAAGATGGGCCAGCCTTTGTTACTCGTGAGTACATATTGTCCGGACACACTTTGGGTGTTGACGACGAGTCTACGACAGAATGCCCGATCACACCAAAACATTCCTTTTTGTATAATTTCAAGGCCCCGTAAGTGCTACGTTCACATCACACTGAACTTTCTCTGACGCGCCAAATGTCAATAGTGGACAAGCAGGTCCCGATCTTGATTCACTTTCAATACCCGTTCATTGACATACCAAACTAGGAACCTTCTGGTATCATAGCCATTTGTCGACCCAGTAGGTCCATCACATTCGCATTGGCACACATTTAATCGTGTCCTTACCAGATATTGCGATGGTCTCCGTGGTCCACTTGTGATTTATGACCCCAATGACCCGCAAAAACACTTATACGGTATGTACATTCAAGTCTTATATACCCTTAGTATAACCTTTCGATTAGATATCGACGATGGTCAGTCAATGCCTTATATGGCCACGCAGAATGCTCAAGAAATTCACAGAAACCACGATTATCACTCTTGCTGATTGGTACCACTACCCAGCGCCATCCCATCCGGCTATCCCCGCACTTAATTCGACCCTGATCAACGGTCTTGGACGCTATCTAGGTGGCCCTCTTTCGAAGCTTGCTGTCATCAGTGTCTCTCCCCATAAGCGATATCGGTTAGTGGTCTTACTTACCACGGTGGTGCCTTTCAGCCTAAGCTCAACGTCCTCCTCAGGTTCCGTTTGGTTTCAATTTCATGTGATCCCAACTGGATTTTCAGTATCGATGGGCATACAATGACCATCATCGAGGTCGATGGCGTTAACCACAAACCTCTCGAAGTAGATTCGATCCAAATATGCAAGTCTTCCTCTCTCGTTTTTTAATTTTGTGTCATTGAGTGTTTTAATCCAGTCGCGGGCCAGCGCTACTCCTTTGTCCTCAATGCCAACAAGCCCGTTGACAACTATTGGATTCGTGCAGAGCCTACACTTGCCCTCCCTGGGGTCAACCACGGATTCGCCAACGGCACAAATTCGGCCATTCTGCGCTACGTCGGTGCGCCAATTCGGGACCCTACGACACAGAACACCACGTCCAAGCTCCCGTTGATTGAAAACAACCTGAAGCCTCTCGTGAAGACGCCCGTGCCGGGTGTCCATGCTCCGGGGAAGGCGGACAGAAATCTCAATTTGGTGATCTCGCTCGGACCGAATGGGACATTCCAGATTAACAACGCAGTAAGACAGTCCTGTCCTTGTATGGCGCAATTGTAATTGAGCGCTGCAGAGCTTCGTACCGCCGAAGATTCCTGTTTTGCTGCAGATACTCTCAGGAGCAAAGAAAGCGCAGGAACTTATGCCGAAGGACAGCATCATCGAGTTGAAGCCCAACCAGGTCGTCGAAGTCAGCATTCCTGGAGGCTCCATCGGCGCTCCAGTGCGTTTCTCTGTATATCTTCCTGTCCCTTTCATTCATATATCCTGACACAGCATCCCTTTCATCTTCACGGGGTAAGTCTGCGATTACGCTGGTTTTGGGACATGACACTCAAAATTGTCGGTCCAGCACAACTTCTTTGTGGTCCGCAGCGCCGGGAATTCGTCGTACAACTACATCGACCCACCGATCCGGGACGTTGTCTCGACCGGCGCATCGATCTCGGACCTGACCACCTTCCGGTTCGTCACCGACAACAGCGGGCCTTGTGCGACCTTTCTCCTCCTTTTCAATTCGTCGCGCTGATCGGGGACACCACCAACGCAGGGTTCTTGCACTGTCATATCGACTGGCACTTGGACGTGTGCGTTCTTTAGTCAACTTAACCATGATCGATACTAACATAAATTTACAATGTCAGTGGTTTGGCTGTCGTCTTCGCGGAAAATATTCCGGGAATCCAGAAAGAGAACCCACCTTGTGTGTCCAATTGTTGCTAGGTTGTCGCGCAAGACTGATTCTATGTTTCTAGACGCCTGGGACCAGCTTTGCCCTATCTACGACGCAAGCGCTCAGGACTGAGAGATAGCGCTTCCATATCACCAGCAGTCACAATACATGCATTGACTGGATTTGGACTGTTGACTAATTTGGGCTTCCTGCTTGTTTTTTGTGTTACTTATATCTTGCGATAATGGCTCGTAGACCACATGTACTAGCTCTACTATAATACTACATATGCTGATGATACCGAAGGCCAGTATTGAAGCTATAGCTAACTCGTCTACACCAGAATAGTAGGAACACTAAGCTCTCATAGCGAACGCAGGTATCAAAAGTGTCCGAATCGAACCCTAAGCGGGCAGTTGTGAAAGCCTTTTTCCGCATCTCTCCACATCGCTCCACCACGCTCGCCGACATCATCTCAGTGACCATACGTCGCCTTCAATCGGCCTTGGATGTACTCTCCCGCGGTAATCGTTTCGTACTTTGCCGGGCGATCTGGACTGACGCAGCTGGGGATCGGCTGATAGAGAAGGCGTTAATGAACTGAGATTAAAGGTGACGAGGGCCGGGGAAGCACCTCTAGCCGGACATCGTAGTCCGTACCGAAGAACAGCGGGATCGAGAAGCGCTCGACGCCACTGCGGTTGATGGCGCGGTGGACCGTGGAGGTGAACACGTCGTCTATAAACCGCATTCGAGTCGCGCAAGGGGACCAGAAGTGGGAAAATGCTCACTGGTCCATCTGGCGAGCTCATCTCCGAGGCTGCGGATAAACTGATTAGTTTAAAGGGTCAGACAGTAGCACGGCGAGGGACGCACTTGATAACGAGAGTACCCTCGATCGGCGGCGCGTCGATCCACTGCTTGCGCGAGTTGAGGACTTGGAGCGCTTGGATGCCCGGTTGTTGATAGAGGATGGTGAAACACTATTGCGCTTGTTATAGTTGGCCGCGGCGGGTGAAAAGCGTACTTACCTCCCAGCTGACAGGCCGTCGGTGCTCATTTGGGGGAGGAGGGATCGGGGAGGACATTAGTCAAGCCACGTACTCAGTATGTGCGCCGATGCCAATGACCCTGCCGTCGACCTCACCGATCTGAGGGGGGTAATGAAGCAGCCTCATGAGCGCCGCAGAGTGCTTTGTCTAACGCTGTTCATTTTTTGTCTCTTCGGCGATACGACGGAGCCTGACCTTATCAGCGAAAAAATCTGCGGGTAAATTCAAAGCCAATGCGAAGAGCGGAAAGAGTTGGCGGCCGAGCTGTAATGCATGGTGGCTAGGGTGAATTATTTAGTTTCTCCTAGGAATAAGGAGCAAGGAGCGGCCCACTAGTACTCCAATGCAGCAAGACGAAATTCGGGAAGGGAAGCGGGCCAGACATTCGGTGCGGACATCACGTCCTGAGGCGTGGGTTGTAGAGGTCGCGAGGCTTGCGATGATGCCCCTCCATCGTCGACGACATCTGGCAGTTCGTACCCAAACTCGAATCCCTCCTGCAGATCACCCCCACCGTTCGGGTCGTTGTTCCCCGAGAGGACGGGGCTATAGCCCTTGAAGTTAGGCGATTTCTTGTTCTCTATCTAGACAGCTGTGTTAATAGCATTTGGTGGCATGCAGTGCAAACGTACCTCGAGCTTTTCATCCAGCGGGAGGTCGAAAAAGGCCCGCATGGCAGCGATGGTGCGGGCGAATACGGCGGGCGGTATACCATGTTTCTTAACTAAATTGCGCGTGTAGAGTTAATGGACGGCAGGATGACACGGAAAGGAGGCACCGTAGAAGAACCCGACACGTGTGCAGGCGTCTTTGACCCTCTCTACCAGCTCCTGGCGTGCGCCAGGGTCGGGGCTGCCGAGATCTGTCAGGTCGCTGTGAATGCGGGAAGATGTTAGCGGCATCGGTGCGGAAGCGAGGAAAAGGAAAACATACATGATGGGTATTTCCTGGAAAGCGTCCTCTGGACTCATATCGGAAAGACGAAGATGGTTGTTGATGACTCATCTACGTGACGCGTTAAGGTGAGGTGATGAAGGTCACGGGTACCGCACTGGTGCAGATCAAGACAAGAAGAGGTCTGCGTGGAATGCCGATGGCCCTCACCACTCAGAGCAGGGCATTTCCTCCACACAGCGTTCCCGGGCAGGCCAAGTACTAGTACTTGAAAGGATTGCATATCACGTGCTCCGACATGGGCGATCGTAGTAACAGTCCGTGACACTCGCGTCTTGTTTCTTTTCCTCCACCACCCTTCGTATTAGCCTTTCGAGGAGCATCCAAGTCTCATATCCATGGCTAAAGACACGTCCAGTAAGTGGTCTTATACGTCTACCATGTCATCTCCAACGGTGCCACTTACCATACCGCATTCTAGCGACGAAGTCGACGAAGACAGCTACCAAAGACGCGACGAACAAGACGAAGAAGACCACGAAGAGCGACAAGAAGGCGCCTGATGCAGCAGAGAAGCCCAAGCGCGAGCCCTCGGCGTACAACAAGTTCGTGAAGGAGAACATGAAGCCATGGCGCGAGGCGAATCCCGATAAGACGGCAAAGGACGCGATGGCAGCGGTACGCAGATCCTCCCCCCTCTCTCTCAGTCTGTACCCCTCCGCTGATCGTGCTTTTTTCTAGGTTGCTGGTATGTGGCGCGACGCGCCGGAAAACCCCAACCGCGGTAAATCGCCGAAGAAGCGACAAGCCAAGAAGGAGCAGACACTAGCTAAGGACAAGCCAAAGTCTACGAAATCCGATTCGAAGACCAAACCCATGTCGTCGTCCGTCAAGAAACCCAAGAGTGCTGCACCACCACCCTCGGACGAGTCTGAAGCAGATGAGGAGGAAGAAGAAGGCTCGGACACCAACCAGCTTGTTTCTAGCGATGCTTGAATGTGGCTTGAGAAGGTACGCAGTCTGCTTTGAAGCCGTCTTATTCAAGTTTGCCGACGATGCAATACAGCTAGCCTCATTGTTCGTTTCAGTGCCCTTACAGTTACCATTCATCGTATCGGGGATCGTGGACTCGTCAGTGTTATTTATGCTACCTACTGCACGGTTATTAGTACTATACTTACCTCCTAGTGTACTACTGATGAGTTAAATAGCTACAGAGTGTACCATATTGAACTTTTTGCCATCAACTTAGAACTCCAATATTCAAAAGGGTGTAAAAGTAGGATCACGTCCGATGTCATCCGACGCCGGCCCACTATTCTCATCATATGTACCTCGGTTTCCTCCGCCGATTGTATGGCGGCGCCCACACGAGCGGATCCCCTTTGGATACTCTGCACAGATATTGGGGCGGGAGACAACCATCGTCGAAGTCCCTCAGCTTGACGAACATGGTGATCAATGATCATTCACCGGCAGTCGTGAGGCTCCGAGTTATCATCGAAGATCATGATGGCATCACTTTTGTGCCGAATGCTGTCGTTAAGCCTCTGGCTGGTCCAGAGATGGGCAGCGCAGAGGCCACAGCCTTGCGGGGCTGGGAGTCAGATATCGATACAACTTGGAGAGGCCCATCCAACCGGGATTAAAAATATTCTGCTCCGCCGTAGACAGACGACAAAAAGTCGCGAGGATCAGCTGCATGTTGACTGCACAACAAAGATTTGCCCTCGGTTATGAGATTGTCCCCGTCACCGTGACCCTTTTGTTTCTACCGTGACCCTGCAAACATTTCGGAGCCTGAGATTTATTTTGATTCCGAGATCGAAAGGGGAGTATCAGGAACAGGGGCGACACCGAAGCTCAGTCGAAGCTCCAAGTCCCTCATTTGCTAGACCGCCATGATAGATCGTCGGTTTCCCCAGATTTTTCCCAGCATTTTGAAAGAGGGGAGTCTGTCACTTGTCGCTGTCACCGATGTCTACGGGGCTCGGAATTATCTGACGCAGTGGCCTTGGCGATGGCGCTGAATGTGTTCGCCGTGCGGATTTTGCCGCCTAGCCGACTTCATCTCAAACAGTTGCGATCGGCAGTGTATTTCACCCGTGGAATCACATTTCTCATCTGGAGCGCATGGCGTCGAAGACTGTTATTTTTTTCTGAGTCGACGTGATGCTGCCCTGAGTCTGAGCTCGAACTTCAATGGCTACAAGCCTCCGAATCTTGGCACAACAAGGCACAACCTGGAAGACCGATTTGCCCAAAGGATCGTGGGAGCCGTCATGATGTCATTTTCGCCCTGCAGCAATGATGCATGATTATCTGATTCAAATTTGATTTCAAGGTCCGATATGATCGCCGGTGCTGATCGCCGATCAATGATTGCGAGGATGGTGTTAAGTCTAATTGCCAAAAATTTGAACCGGCAGCGTCAATTATTCGATGTTATATACGAGTTGGATAGGATCCATAAAGGCGAGCGGAATGGGTACGAACAATACCAAGTATGCGCATCTCGGCGTTGATTCGGGCTCGGAGGGCAGCCATCGATGCCCGAGGTGCATGTCAACAGTTCCACGACGTATAAAGGGCTGGTCGAGCTTCAACGAACCACCCACGGGGTGAGCTTACACCGCAAAAACCTTTGCTCGTCCGCCTTGAACCCTCCTAGGACCCGCAACGGCCAACAGGTACGCTATCAGCCGGATCACACGCACATTAATAAATGTGTGTTAACTATTAACAATGTTATAGGCATTCAAAAGCGGTATGCTACCGTGACTGAGCTATCAGTGGAGTGGTAAATCTAGCTCCCGTCATTTATGAAGCTTCGGTGGTCTGAGTCCGAGTCTGTCATGGTCTATTGGCACTGGCGCCTTGATTTCTCTCCGAGTCTCTGGTTACTAGTACGCTGTTTTCAAACCCTATCAGGTCAACTATTACTGGCGCCGTCTACGCCCTGGCGACTACTTCTGCTCCGCGTTTCCTGATGGCTGTACCCGTGTTACCATTGGAAATAAGTGCATACACTTTGCATCAATCAAGTTTCCATCTTCTATCTCAGTCGGAGACAGACGGTCTACTGTTGAGCCCACGATCCGTCGCCTCATGAGCTCAGTTGAACATACGTCTGAGGAATAACCTCATCGTATAGGGAAGATCTTGACTACGCCTTCGCAGCTTTGGACTAGGACCCCGGACCCCAAGCGGAGTCTTGAATGGTTGTCGGCCGGGCCCGCCGCGGGCTCACTGGCAAGGTATAATATCCAGTGTATTATCCACTTGGGTTGGGCTGCCAGACGGAGTCTCAGAACCGGTTTTAACGCTGCCCGGGAGGCACTAGCATGAATCAATTGCTTTATTGATGAGGTAGTACGATGCGCATTGAGCAACTTGGAGCCAATCCTACTAGTGGTGCTTGAGTCTTGTAGCTCGTCGCACTTGTCAGTCAACTTGAACGCGCTGCCAGTGATAGATTTTACATTGGCACTGGCATACATAAGTACTATTACCGCGTAAATGCTCCTCTCTGAATTTCTCCACCAATCCTATTAGTAGCAGGGTCACAGCAAGTTTCCAGCGACATCTCCACTTGCCTTCAATAGCACTTTTTTTTTTTGTTCCGATGGCTCAAATTTAAAAAAGATGGTGACGGATCCAAGTTAATCGCCGCATAAACCCGTGTCCCCGACCGACGGAACACTTGGCCCCAAGTGGTTGGGAGCATAAGTTCCATCGTGAAGACGCCAATTTCGAGTTATTCGGTGTCCAGGTGGGTAGATAACCCTTGAGGTCCACGAGCTACTCCCGATATAGCCTAGCGGGGAAACGGATTTAATGGATTCCAACACTCCGTCGTCGGGTCGGGGCACTAATGTCAGGGTGGATAATGAAACATAGATGACCGCACGACAAAAAGCTTCCGCCGGGATCAACCGCAGCCAGATTTGGAAGATAGGTAGCATGGCATCTGAGGAGTCGAGAATTTCCGTGCCTTTCTTGGCACCCGGTCTCGGGGACATCCGTGAGCGTTGAGTTACGTCGAGTAGTGGCGTTCCTGTCGTGGTAACATGGCTCGTGCCAGTGCACCGACATTCATGGCTGGAAAGAGCGCGGAAAGTCTCAACCCGGGTCCGTTCAAAATCCGGGGAAACGCCGATAAGATAGTCGTACTCCCATCTGATGGCCGATTTCGCGGGCAGACACAAAAAAGAGTCGGCTTCTCCCGCAAGTCTATCCCCAGGAAGGCAATTTCCGTTTCTCGAAGCACTATTAACATTGGAGATCTGCAGGGACGGAAGGACGGAAAATGCTGAGGCTGTTGTGGACGATAGAGGTCGCATTAAGCTATCTGCAGTTATTGGCGTCCCGCAGGCGTCAATCTTCGCCTGAGAGCTTTGGGTGACCGGCGTTTGTCGGAGGCCGAGTCTGACCCGATTTCGTAATGGCTCGGATGAGCCTAGACCCACAGCACTCATACCGCAGCGGGCTCCGAGCGTTTGCTCTCAAATATCCTCGATAAAAATGAAAGCCATGGGCAAGATAGATAGCTTGAAATACGAGGGTCGCCGACCAGGGCCGAGTAGACGCTTGCGATTGAGTCGGACATATGAGCCCGACAACCTAGCACCGATACCACAGACTGGTGCAAAGGCAAAGAAGGAGCAATGGTACCGATTCGGTACCTCGCCATGGCAAGACACCGCCGAGGACTCGGAAAGTGTGCATGTACTAGCGGATTTGCGCTGTAACACCGACAAATGCTTCCTGAATGCAACGCGCAAGAGCCGAGTAAATTTGATCTCGAGGCCCCAGCACGATATAGGAAAAGCAGTGGTTGCTTTAACACTCCCGCGCTCCTTTGGAGTAACTGACATAAGATCATCGAAAGCTTGGGTTGAACGAGACAAAAAATGCATCACTCTATGTAGTCTGACAACGATGTCTGAGTACATTATAATCGGAGTTGTGTTGTTCATGCAGTCGCAGCGACAAGGCTGGAATATATAAGTAATGCTATATGCACAGATCAATAAATGTGCTTACCGTGATCTTTTCACTACTGGTGTCTCACCCGCTGACGAAAGCTGTAAAGGTGATCAGCAGCAACTCCACCGCGAGACATAGCAAGCCTACCCTGGTGCGCTTGCCGAGAACCTTGAGCGCCTGTTGCGCTTCCTTTTCACCGGCATCGAACACGTACCCCGGCAAAGCCGTACTGAAGGCAAGCCAAGCGTTAGGAGGAAGGTTGCGGTATCGAAGCAACACACCGTCTGAGATGCCGCAAGGTTATACCCATGTTGGCTTCGTCGAAAGCGTCGCCCTTGACCATCTTGGTAAAGTCAGCAATCGGAACGCCCATGTCAAGTCGGCGAGCAATGGTTTCTTTCTCTGGACAACAAGGTTAGCCAATAATCTAGAACAAGAAAGAGAATACCTTCTAATGGTCTTATGCGTAACCCGATAAAGAATGAGCTCAAGAACACCTTATGGTCTGCACCAGAGTATGCCTCATCGTTGACATCTCCTTCTGCATCAGGGCCAGCAGCTTCTTCACCACGAAGGACCGCGTTGACTTGTGCTTCGTCGACACACCGAACAACTCGGTCGAAGCCCTTGGCGAATGGGTGCGGGAGGCGGAGATTATCCACAAACTCCAGTCGGCCGACGAGGTGCCGCATTTTTGATTCGACAGTACCGGACCTAAACAGAGAGCGAGTCAGCATATGGACAAGACAGGAGTCAATATGGGAGGGCCGAAGACAGAGGAAGACAGCGCGTAGATTTGAATGGGGGGTAGTCTTCGGTCATCAGAAGCGAGCGACATACCACTTTACTTGCGCTTGCTTATCTCGCGTCATTGCGACAATTTGAATGTAGTGCTTATATCGGTGGAAAAAGTCGTGCTTTGTGAAGAGTTCGGCCCAGTTCGCATCACCGGCAAGAACTTTGTCAAGTAATTGGGCGCCTGTGCGTAAAACGTGCGTTAGCAGGAGCAGAAGATGGGAATAGAAACTGGGAGAAAGACAGGTGTCCAATGTTGTTATGAAGTGGGGGAAAATGAAGGCACCGAGGCGTTTGTGTTGACGGCATGAGCGCCGGATGGCATCGACAGTAATAGAAACGGCGCGACACTCACCTTGCTCAATGGCTTCGACCATGATAGCGTGTGTCGAACGGGAGACATTGTGTGTCGCACACATAGAGGGATAGTTTGGGGTTATGATAGGCATGAGATGGGCTCGGTCGCTGGGATAGAGCTCGAAGCCTGGTCTTAGTCAACGACTCGCAGGGAGAGAAGTATGATGACATACTTTGGGGTTCCAGACCCTCACTTGTAATGGACCTTCTTCGATCTGCTTTAAGAGCACAGGCTGCGGCCATTGCCTGAGTTGTAATTGAGATGCCAGAGATGTTAAGAGGAGGAAAATACCATTTGGACATGACAGTGAAAAACCGTGAAACAATGGCACCAGCGACAGCATTTGGGTAAAGCTGGCATATACGGGCAACAAGCATGGCCCACGCAACACCACCAAGGTAACCTATCTTGTTGGAATAGATGGCCTTTCCTAGAGAGGGTCTTAGATTCCGGATGTGAAAGGTAATTTGAGTAACACACGTTGAGCCCAGAGCTTGATACAGCGTAGAGCATCGCGGAAAACTTGAACATTGGGGACTAGACGGAGAAGTTCATCGGTGAGACGTGTGCCTATATTCAGTGAGCATATGTTCCAGCCAAGGGTACTTGGAAACGCACCATTGACGCTTCGAACTACGCTCTCGTCTAAGTTCCTCAGAAGATTATTGTCCTTGAGCGACAGGTCCTCCGGTATGGATGACATGCCTAGTGGTGCAATAAGCAAATCCATCGAAATTCCTGAGATGTTGGCGCCAATGACTGGTACAAAGGCGTCTGGTACACCCTGGAAGCAGTTCAGAAAGTAGAGGAGATGGAGAAAACAGGACGCGCCGAAACCTCTGTGGCACCTTCTAATGCCTTCACCATTGGTTCGAAAACGTTGAAAAAGTCCTCCCGCGTAACATGCTTGGGGACGACGCAACACGTGTCAATGTCGGAGCCAGGACTATGGACGCCGAGTCGGTAGGACCCAAAAGTGAATATTTTCCCCCCTGCAGCATTAGCAGCGGTTTCCGAAAGACCTTTAGCGATAGAAATGTCGCGCACGAACTTCTTGACTAGAGCGGCGACACGACCCAACACGAGCTCCCTGTAAGCGATAGTGACATGTCAGATGGGTCAAGCAAAGGACTGGTAAAGCCTCCGTACCTTCTGCGCGACTCTTCCTCACTCTCAAACGAATTCTGCCGACGGAGTTCCTCCATAAGGGACCCAGTAATTTCGCGCTCACGGTCGGTCGACTGCGCCACGGAAATAGGAGGAGTGACGCCCAGATAGCTATTTTGTTCATGTCAAAACACCGAAAGTCTGTCCACCGTTTCTGACGCACCCTTTTTCGGCCATTTTCGGCGGAGTGAGTGGAGGAGAAGGAGGTGTGTCAGGCGTGACATCTGTCAATCAGTCACATGGGAAATCGCACGTGCTCTTCCTTCCTTGCCCCTTCCTCCTTCGACGTCGATCGCACACTCTCACACCACGCCATGAGATGCTTACCCAGTCAAGCGGACATTGAGTCTCCATACTCTATCGTGCCGATCTTGACTTTCTGATTATTGTCCTTGCGGATGGGCGCCCATATTCCAGTTGACCCGCTTCAATTGGGGCGGTCGTATGTCGGCGCACAACGCTGACTTGCGGGGAGCGCTACTCCGACGATATGCAAAGGAGGAGCTCGACAGCTTTTAGCACCGGGCTTTGTATGTGAATTGCATTGTTCACATCGTTCACTGACAAAGACTTGAAGGAAGAAAACGCCATCGACAAAAAACGAACTGGTACTGCTAGCACTACTTGCTGCTATGGAGCTAAATGCCCACATTGTGCCCACAAATCATTGTGCACTGCCTAGCTATGTCTGTGACCATCCTTACCGACGTTCATTTCAACTTCATATCGATTATTGGACAGCCTAGTATTTGCCACCACAGCGGGTGTTCCGCGAAAAACATGGTGCTACATCTTGGCTACATCAATGCCTGAAGTTTTATTCGCTAATTTTTGGATCAAGGCGGTGCACGCAAGTATTTTATGCTTGGTCCATGGAGGTCGGGCTGTGAGGTCATCCAACAATCAATTGCGCAATTGATCGCCGCTGTGCCCCTTCACAGGAAATCAACCCCGGATTCGTTGCTTGGTCATAATTTCCCGCGCAGGTCGCGATGGATCGGCGTTTTGTTGCCGCTCACCCGCCTGACAACTCCCGGCGCCGCCTCTCTCTTCAGAAAACGAGCAACGCAACAAGCCAACGCAACAACCAGAAACAAACACACGCTCGGTCTTAAGCTTTTCCTTATCGGCGGCGAACCGGGCTACGCCGCAGCTTTCCATTTCGCTCCGAATCGGACACCTACTAGAAAGACACAAGCAACCCTTTCTATCTTGGGTCTTCAATTCTGAACTGTCCCCTCCCCGATTTGCCTCTGGAAGGCCTTTCCCTACTCTGATTGTATGTTCTCCCCGAAAAACACCCATCATCACCTACTCTGTCGGCCTTCTATCTCTTGCAACTTCTCCTACCCCGACTGGTTCGCCTCATGGGCAGGCACCGAACTCACCGACATTCACGGGTGCAGGACGGACCAGCGTACGCGCCGCCTCACAAAGCCCCTGCCAGTGCCTCTGCCATTATCCCAACGCCGACTGTACTCAACGCAAACGCCAAGCATAACAGACAGCTTGATTGATACCAGCGTAGTACGCACACCACCCACACCAAAGACAATTGCCATTCTTGGAACAAAGGTCAAACGACGCGGGTGGAGTCTGTGCCTTTCGGGCTTCTTATCTTCTTGTGCATGCATGCAATTGACATATGCCTGCTTACACGCACCCCTGGTCAAGTTTCAACGGAGGCAATCACAAATCTGCCGGTTGATACTTCTACGAACGTTGATATGGTACGCCTTGCCCCAGATAGGATATTTCTCAGTCAATTCCGGTCAGCCTCGCGCTTCCGCCAAGGGAACGCTGGATGATGATTCTCAGGCTGAGGGCGGGGACAGTCTCCGATTGCGCGACTCGTCCAGTCGTAATGGCCATTCAAAGCGGTGTTGCGACTAGTCCGGCGAGTAACGGACCGATCAGATATGTTTGCGTTCCAGATGTGCGAAGGGTCTCCTCTGAGCCTCTTCAGCTATCATCTCCTCCGGAAGACTGGCTCCATCCGCGTTAGCTTGAGGTGATCAGGCAGCTCTGGAGCAATGTGGTCGCGTTGCCGCATCTGCGTCGGGTTCCTCCACCCCATGAATCCATACTATCCCCTTCACGAAATAACGCAACACCCAAGTAGACTCGAAAGTCTAGCCCCAACTCGAGGGAGTCGGCGGTCTCGGAAACGCGCGTCTTCGGCAGAGGGGAGAACTGTTCAACCGTGAAAGTGAGAGTTGAGGTTCATGATTGTAGCCTCAACAATCACGGCGCGACTTTCTCATGGTGCTCCGCCCTTGTCTCCCGAATCCCGCGACACTCGACAGCGAAGCTGTGGCCCATTGACACCCGTTCACCTCGCCCGACGGGATATGAACTTCGACATCGTTGCGGGCAACAACTTTCAACCGCAACTTGAACTGGAACTTGACCACGGAAAACCGTCGAACGCTGCGATGAATCACGCTGATCTCAGGCCGTCGTTTCTATACAGTCAACCTTTTTCCCAGACACGGCGCAACAGCTCTTCTCGTTGATGACTGGCGCGAATGGGTCGCTGGCTGGACGGCGGTGATATCAGCTCATATAACTCAATTGCGGCGAGCGGACAATTCTGAAGATTTGGAGTCATGGCCTCTTCAAGACCGAGTCCGAGTGTGGGCCTTGGGAAACGAGAGAACAAAAACTGCAGTAATTCAATAAGCGAGCCCCTGCTAGCGTCTCTGGGACGTATCTGCTGCCGCCCTCGGTTGCCGCCTATCTTGCCCTATCTACTCGATATCGGGGACTATGGCGGGCCTTACGACCCTCGATGAGGTAAGCTGATTCGGTCATGGCCCTTGCACTATTCCTCGGAACTAATCAATGTCTTCGGCCTCTAGCTATCTTGCCGGCTCATCGTACAGAGAACGGCATTCGACATTGGACATACATTGAAGGTATCAAAGAAGAGGCGTTCGAGAAACGTGAGAAACATTGCACTGTCGTTGCTTGAAGTTGCTATTTCTTACGATCGTGCTTTCCTTCTGCTGTTATGCCGAACTACAACTCCGGACCCGAAGAGCGATTGGGCAGCCTGCGCGACGTCCACACACGTTGCGCTACCGATATATCTCTGTGGTCCTTCTTATTTTGAATGCCCATTTCATGCGTCAAGTGCACCCGAATCCGTCGCCATCGCTCCGCTACTCGCTCACGTTGTGGTATTATTATTGCGCTGCCTTTTCGATCTAGACTCCACATCGTCAATGGTTCTCGTGGATCATGGCATTCACTCGACTTGAATGTTTCTCCGTTCAACGCGTTTCAGGCAAACCATACGAAATGGACTGATTTGCGAACGACCGGACGCTCTGTGGTGTCCCACCTCCACATTTCACAGACCGCTGGATGAGACAGAGAACCACTTGAGCTGGCAGTGCGCAGCGACACACGACTGACAACAGAAGGCAGTTCCCGCCCCGGGATATATGCACACACCCACGTAATGTCAATGTCTCTTTTCGAGATTCGAAAAACAAGTGGACGGATAGAGATCGATAGATCGACAGTTTTGCTTTACCTCGTCCATTCGTTGACGTTCTCCATCGGCCATTCATCGTCGCTATACGTATACCGCATCGTCAGTGTTGGTCAGTTTTTGACTGTCTGCCAGTGTGACCGAGTTGCTCAACTCTTGGACGAAGTCATGAAGTTCAAAAGGGAAAAATATTTACACAGGTTGTCGCGCGGCTGCACACTGCAATCTGTCGAACAATAACAATGGAAGCTAAGTTTTCCGATTCACTGGTCCAGGAGAACTCCACCTGTAGGAGCAACGATCCACAAGGATGAGTGCGCACTGGGCAGGAACTATCAACAATAGCGAGTCACCTGCAAGATTAACTCCCGCGCCAAAGGAGAGACGAACTTGGACGGCCGTGGCCATCAATACTCGATGTCTAAGCGGTGTCACGGAGTCGGGACGCGAGATGTCGTTGGTCGGTCGGTCGGCGGCCAAGGTACTTCGAGCCAGCCATTCAAATCATGCGAATTGGAATTTCTTTTAATTTTGCTGCTTCGGCTATGTCGCCGGCGTCAGCGCATCAGTGAAAATACCCAGCGACACCGGACAACGAACGACGCCGTTGCCTCCGATGCGACGATCCTTTCGGTTGCCTTTTTTGTGATCAAGACTCCGAATTCCTCCGACGACCGTCGCTGGTCGGGAGCGCACCTCAGCGCAACGTCCAGCGCATCGCAACAATCAAGCATGAGATTACTTCTGTTTCACGACGCCGAGCGTCAATCTTTTTTATTTCTGTTCCTATTTCCTCATTCTCGGTGGAGTCCTTCGCTGTCAGGTTTCAACTATTGAGCGCTGGAATTTCTCCGTAAGGACAAGCAAAAGTAAAGCTTATCAGGACAAGTGAGATCGTGCTTCAAATTGGTGTTTCCTCAAATTGGACAAGTTGTCGAGAATAAAGTGTGCCCTTCAACTTGCTCCAGGTTACCTGAGTGGTCAAACTGAAGAAACACGGCGAAACTCGAAATCCGCCAAGACTCCCGACACCTTCGGTACCACAAGTAGCATTGTCTCCTTTTGGGGTTAACCATATCCGCGGCTAAGCGGCTCGGTGTTGGCCCGATAAAATCTTAGATCGGGGCCTCATGGCAGCATCACGAACTGTCACTCACGTCCCCTTACGTCCTCTATTTTTTCCACGACCATGTAGTCACCATTTTGAAGGCTTGCGCTACACCAGTTTCATGCTATAAAAGTAGGGCCAGGTATAAATGGGCGGAGTTCCCATTCGCATTCTCGTCTGGTGCTGCTCTCAACCCATTCTTCGCTGCCAGTGTCGACCTATTGGCCCAGAAAAACGATGTCCCTCCAATCCCCACTCTTTGCTCCGTTGCCGGCGCTCGTCGACCGTGACGACGCACGGCCAACATCGACAGCGCCCAGCAATCTTAGCTTGCAACTCCACGCCCTACCACCCGCACCCCTTCCTCTCTCAATGCGCTTCTACGATCATGGTGAGTGCTATTAGCTGACGGACGCCACCACAGAAGACTGACGCCCACTTCTTTCTTTCTTCCTCCCACGCAGAATCGAGCACCACTACAAGCACCCGAGATTCTTCTCCGTCGTCGTATGCCCCTTCGGTATACCACCATAGCCCGACCAGCAGCGCTAGTGCTTCACCATTGGTCTTATCCCTCTCGCCCCATACATCATCCTCGACACTACCAGGCCTGAGCTATCCCTCATCGAATGCTAGTGGGCCTTCGATAGACCTCAGCAGTTTGATTCCGCTGGACTCGTTCGGCGTTGCGGAGCCGTTGACATCGTTTGGCGGCGTGTCCGATGACTGGACATCTTACGGCTTTCAGAGTCATGACCATCGTACCCTTCCACCGCTCCACTGGGCGGACTTCGGCGGTTACAACCCATACACAACCCCATCTTCGCCGTACAGCGCCTCTGACGCCACGACTTCGTCTGGCTCAACATCCCCCTCCAGTTACTTCCTCTCCCCATCAACAAACACCGCCCCAACCCTTCCTCCCGTTGCTCCTTCTCGCTCGCGTGGGCCAGCACTAAACCCTGACGGCACTCCCGCCAAGAAGGAGTGTTTCCACTGCCATGTTACCACCACTCCGCTGTGGCGACGGGAGCCTCAAACGCAGCGCCCACTATGCAACGCATGTGGGCTTTACCTCCAACAACGCAACAAACTCCGTCCCCAAGAGCTCATCGACGCTGACCGGGACGATTCGGACGACGAGATCAATCGGATCCCCGACAGCGAGTATACTGGGCCCAAATGCAGCCACTGCTTAACGCGGCAGACAAGTGTTTGGCGGAGGAATAAGGCCGGCCAGCAGGTCTGCAATGCATGCGGGGTCTACCAACGGCTGCGGGGCAAGGAGCGTCCATTGAGCCTGAGGAGAAATAAAATCAAGCCACGCACGAAGCACACTCGGTAATGCTTAGTGTGTGCGATCTTACTTTGGTTGGGACGGGGCCCGGGTAGAGCGGTATTTAAAGCCACGATAGAACTGGGACATTTTTCGAAAACTTGGAACGAGCCTTGACGCCCAGTGCGCATGGTGCCGTAGTCCAGTGTACTTGTACTTGCTATCTAGCACTGTTTGTTTACTATGCGTACCTAGAGAAAACAAGGCGACGCGCTCCAATGTACTTATCAATGATCATCGACCACTGCGAGGTACATCAAAGATTAAGCAAAGCGGACCGAATCTGACTATCTGTACATGGCGGCGTTAAAGAGGTGCCTTGCCTGAGGCTCATGATTATGCTTGACAGCCGAGTCGGTGAAAGCGACAATCCCGAGTCGATCGGTGACAGGTTTCTTTGATGCGCCGATGCGCGGCTCGGCGGGTCGGCGGCTAATCCTTATCGTCGGTAGCCGGCGGTTCCCTCGATCACAACGATGCATCATTCGTCAACTGACTGGCCCACCGGGACGGTCCGGCGGGCCTCGGACCCGTGTCAGTGTCTATCAGCAAGCGCTCGGGAAGATATAATGTTCCTTTGCGTATTCGAGTTTGTTTATGCAGTTGATAAATCTCGTTTGGCGCTGATCTGATCGCAGACTGTACTTACTGTGATGTGAGATCGGCGGTGACGCGTAGTTTCCAAGAATCTTCATAAAATTTATTGTGAAACAGTACTGACTGCTGCTCATCCCCAACTCATACTTGCGGTGCTAATGAAGACCGGCACACCATCGCTGCGCACGCCAAGTATTTGTAAGAAATTAGAAAATGGAGTCATAATATTGCCCTGTGTTGGGTTTCATCTATTCCTATCCCGCCAGGCCGCGCCTCTGCTTCCTTGAAGTCCCAGGCTCAATGAAGCATAGCATCATGGGCACTGGCTCATGTGGAACGTAAACGGAACAGCGATGCAGGTTGGCCGCATGAAAGTCTTCCGAGCGTGGGTACTGTAAGATTTTATTCAATTCGAATGGCCCGGGGGGCTGTGACACATTGATGTCCGAAAACATTTGTATGATGTTCCCCATTTGGCAATTTGGCACGCCGAAGGCGCCGGAATTGTGAAAAATTACCATTTTGGGATGCCAAAATCCACTTTTTGCTGTGACATACGAAAAAATTTCGTATAAAATCGGTCGTGTGACATGTGACATACGAATTGAATAAAATCTTACAGTATGCTTTTATTTTATTTTTTGTCCCTTTCAAGTCGAGTCAAGTTTGAGATCGTTGATCGTCCGGGCGACTCGGAATTGTGCGCATACTGCAGAGCTGGGGCACCGATGCGTCAACAGCGGATGTTGGTGAAGATTTGATAGTAAATGGCCTGATCAGCGCTCGCAGCTGGCTGCTGCCAGTGCTGCCAGTGCTGCCAGTGCCAAGCTGCGTGCGTGACAGGCGGAGAGCACCTCTAGCGAAGAATGCAGCAACTCGATGGTGATTTGGACTAGCCAACACATATGGGGAAGGTTTGCCAGTGTCATGGCAAGGATGCCGGCGCCGCAAGTTGATATCCTACTGGGGTCTCAGAAGAAAATTCGTTTCAACTTGAAGAAGATTGAGTAGCTGTAATAAGCAACCCCGAAGGATTTACCACCTTCGGAATGGCCCCGGCCATCATTAATGCCATTCGAGCTTTGAGCGTATTATCCGGGCTGCTTCGCATCAGAGCAAAGCAGACAATTACGATAGTGCGGGGAGTAGTTCCGTGACTTCTGTCCAGCGCATCGTTATAGGACAATATCCCCAGTATACTGTACTATTTCATTCAATTCTGCGGGCCTGTGACCTGTGACCTGTGACACATGTGGCAGAAATGTGCAATTCAGCCAAGGGGTGAATTTGGTGTGACCTCCTGCCTTATATGGAAGTTCTGCGCGCCGCAGGCGCGGAAATTTTTAAAAATTACCATTTTGGATGGTTTAGGGCCAAAGAAACTCACTGTGACCTGTGACAGGCAGAAAATTTTCGGCCAAAAAAGTCAATGTGACTGTGACAGGACTAATTGATTGAAATAGTACAGTAAAGACACCAGCAAAAGAGATCCGCGCCGCCCGGAACGGAGGACAGCCTGAGTGTCGAGTCCCAGTCACTGAGACTCGCCAGGACGGGTGTCGTCAGCCAACTACCGTGCGCGATGAGGCTTCAAGTTGATATATATGATGCCAGCGCTGAGGGCGTTGCGAGGCGGGAGGGTACTTTAAGTGCCGAAACTTGAAGCTCTGGAATGTAATTGAAGGTTCTGAAGAAAACTGCCAGCGAGTCAGTGATACGCATGGGCCATGGCGATAAGTGCAGCGCGCGGCCAACTTGAAGATACCGCCGTTCCAACTTTCAAGGAAGTCACGATTCCTGGCAAGTGCTGGAGCTACAGTCTTAGTAGGCCGCGGACTGATTCCGACAGCATAACCTAAACCTGTTCTTGGCCAGCGCTTTGAGGCTCCACGTTCATGAGAATATCAATCAACTTTGGCCGCCAGTGTCTAGTGTGCCTCTCGGCCGCGGCCTATGTGGGGAGATTGGCGTTGACGCTGCCCCAACTCGTACTCTATTCACTGAGAGTGGTTTTTTGGTGGTTGCCATAGTCACGGTGATAAAGAGAGGGAGATGGACGACGTGACATAACGTGACTCACTGGCAGGCTGTTTTGTCCGAGGCTGAGAGCAAAAGTAAGTACTTGCAGCGGTCAAAGATCATTGAGCACCTAGAGCCGAAACATGCAAGGTGAGCTAGTAACTGCCTGCCGCCATATGCTTGCTTAGCAAGGTCGGTGAGGCTGAGGACGAGCGTCACCGTGACCGGTTGTCACACAGCACGTGCAAGTCTCCGCTTGCCTTCCGCTGTCATTGCCGTTACTACCTCTTGAGAGTGCTGCTTTTGGAGTGTGCGGGTTTCTTGAGGTGGCCTGCGAGTGGCTCATGTCGGCCCTCCGCCTCCTGCCAATCACTGACGCCGGCAATACAAACGGTGTTGTTCGGTGCGCACGGGAGTTTGCTACACGACACAAGCTTCGAGAATGGTCAGTTCATGACTAAGATTGGGTCCCTTCACCTCCCCGGTGTTCAAGTTCCTCGACGGAAGTTCGGGAGACCGCAGAGTCCCGTACTTCAGGATCGCTGTGGAACCTCTGGACCAGTAAGTACTGTAGTCGTCCACCCAGGCTGCTATTATGCTGACATATTCTTTGGAGCGGACTCTACCGACCTATAAAAGACCTGGGGCACCTCACGGGCAAAGAAAGACAAGTGCCACGGTACCAACTTGAATTTCATGATGGCTATCGACATTCCTATCATTGCTCGTCAATACACCGTCCCCACTGCGAGTTATCGACATTGTGCGCTGCCCTGGGGCCCTGTAGCTGATGAAACTTCCTAGGATTCCGCTGCGGGACTAGACAGACTGAGGCTTGAGGATGCGCCGGTGCCGACGCCCAAAGCAAACGAGGTTCTGGTTAAAATCAAAGCCGTATCCCTCCAGGTCGGTGCTGGTCCTCGCCTCTTTCAAAGTCAAACCCCTCTCAGTCTCGCGACCTGATGGTTCTCAACAACGAATATCCACCACCGTTCGTTGTGCCATGTCATTTCCAACGGCCTATTATTCTGACCATTTGTAGCATCGCAGCCGACGTTGTCCCCTGCTCCGACATGGCTGGCGAGGTCGTTGCCGTTGGCGCGGATGTGGCGAGATGGACGCCCGGCGACCGCGTAATGGCGAATTTCTTTCTCGAACTACTTTTCGAGGACAGCATGACTACAGAGATCAAGACGAGTGCCCTGGGTGGTGCGGTACATGGCGTGTTAACAGAGTATCGAGCGTTCCCAGAACATGTAAGTATCATATTCTGCCTGTCTTCAACTTATCGGCGGTCAATCGAAATGTCTAGTCCTTGGTGGCGATTCCCAGCCACCTGAATTATGAAGAGGCATCGACGCTGCCTTGCGCTGCGCTAACGGCTTATAATGCGCTGGTCTACGGCTTCCAACGAGTCAAGGCGGGAGACACGGTGCTCATCCAAGGAACGGGGGGGGTTTCGATGTACGCTTCCCGGTTTATACTATACTAACTTGAAAACCCCCCAATAATAATTTCTTCAGTTTTGCCTTGCAGTTTTCCCTCGCCTCTGGTGCGCTGCCCATTGTGCTGTCTGCTTCCGACGAGAAACTGCGCACCGCTACAAACCTCGGCGCAAAACATGGGATCAACTACTTGACGACACCTGCTTGGGATGAGGCCGTGCGCGCTCTGACGGGCGGGCGCGGTGTAGACCACGTATTGGAGGTAGTGGGGAACGCGACACTCGAACGGAGCTTGAAGGCAGTGCGTATCGGTGGAAGTGTCAATATCATCGGAATGTTGGGAGGCAAGGTCGGCGTCCATTCGGCTTAACCATGCTCAAGTGCTGACCGAAAGTGACAGGGCGTGCAAGGCGACGCTCCTCCTCCTCATATAATCGGAACAACAGTATGGAACTCTATCAAGATCCGTGGGGTGTATGTAGGCAGCGTCGCGCAGTGAGTCTTTCGTCCTCGTGCTCCGAGTCGACCCGTTACTAAGTTGTGGACACTTTTTTGTAGGTTTGAGGACATGAACCGCCTCCTTGCAGCGAACCCAGACGTGACAAGACCGGTTATTGACAAGGTATTCTCATTCGAGGAGGCGCGCGAGGGGTTTGCGTATCTGCAAAGTCAGAAGCATGTTGGGAAGGTGGTCATTCGTGTAGCCTGAGCGACTAGACTGATCAATGATTATGCTGTGGCTCCACTTCACCCTTGGTCAGCCTACCGCAACTATATACTGAGGAAGCAAGAGGAGGAAAAACAATGGAAAACACGCCCCTTATGCAATCATGTGATCGTGGCGGGTGACGTGGGACATGCTTACTGACCTTCCGTTCTTCCTTCTTCAAGTTCTGGTCAATGCGTTTGTTCTCCTGTGAAGCCTCGCACGAGGACCGAAGACGAACAAAAGAGCGATGACATGGTCTGGGCTACACTGGTAGTGACGCATTCCGGTTGTCGATGCGGATAGATCTCAGCGGAACCCAGGTGGGCTGTTGGCGGGCGTATTACCATTTGTGGCAGGTTGTGCGTGGGTGCGTGTGCGTTTCGTTGTGCTTGCTTCTCGCTGGATTGATTCAACTCGAAGTTTTGGCGTGGCTCGGGGTTGGTTCGGTGTCGGCTCGGTGTCGATCGATGCCAGCAGCCAGCGAGGCCAACCCGCCACCATGCGCCATAGCGCCCGTTTTGTCAAGAGCGAGCAAGGACAATTGGATGAACCCAATGACCATGCATCATTGTCTGGTGAGTGGTACAAAAGTCCTCCTGCGTTGCAAGCCATCGAACGAAACCTACATAGAACACCAGTAACCATGGTCGTCTTTCCCGAAACGCAAACACTTCTAGGCCATCTCAGCTCTGAGACATCGACGCTGCCGATGAGTGTGCCCTCTATCAGTACGCACTTCCCGCCGCCCGTGTGGCCAAGGTGCGCCATCTCTCCTGGCTATGGCGCAATTCCCCAAGCCGACCTTTTCATTGATAACTGTTGGGCAGGACTCAAACGGCAGAAGCCATCATATCTGGGGAATATGAGCACACGGTCCCGCCCTTCGCGCTGTCACTGTCAGACGCCCACAACGCGAAGTCCAACCCGACCGCCGACGGCAACATGTACGATAACCAAGGTGCTTTCCGTGCTCGTGTACTTGAGCCGAGCGTGGTTTCCCCGATCCAGCGCCAAACTTCACAGCTTGCATGCACACCGGTTCTCGTCGAGATTCCTCCGCCGCGGAATGACCCGCGCGGGGTGCTCGCCTGGCTCCGCGGGGAGTGCGAATATCCGGCAGCATATCTAACACAGTCGATGCAATTGGCTCGTCAAACCCAACGACAGTTAGCTAGGCGGGCGATCGCGAGGAGTCGGCAATACGCTGAAGATGAGCAGATAAGCAGGATACTTGTGAAGCGGCTGAAGAGGATGATAATGAGGGCGGGCAGGCATCGCCGCAGACCGGATCCTGGCGACTGGCTGCTGTTGCTCGCTGTGCTATCGAAAGCCTGAGGCTGGTCCAGGAGAAGGAGCAACAGGCGCCCGAGAGGGTCCGGGCCTCCGGCGTGATTTCGTCCCTTACATTCCGGATGCATTCCGATATCGTGTTAATACTCCAAATCCAACAGACGACTGTGCTTCCCCGATACTTCTCTGCCAAACTGGGTATTAAGAGTTCGCGCACGGATATGTGGCGCGTCTGCTTCGAAAGCTTCCTTTCTGGAGCCATTCCTTCTTCCCGAATCCCGAATGAAAGCCATAATAAAGGCGCCGCCAAGGAGATCCTATGGAAGGAAATACTTCCAGATTCATGTGAAGGACGAATCCGGCCGCCATTCGCTGGCCGACGTCGACGGACTTGGTGGGATGCGGCGTAGAGACATGATCGTATCTACATTTGGGGGGGTCTACACATGCAACTTAAAGGACCTGAACGTGCATCGCAATCATTCGAGTCTCGACACTGCAATCAGTCTCATAGACGTCTTTCCACCTGTACCGTGACTGCTGCGCGCATAGTACAATGAGTCACCACTCTGGGTTTGTTTGTTCTGTTGTGAGCCTACAGTTGACTACTTGGGCTGTGTTACATGAGTCCCCTGCACAGCACAGGTTCGTGGAAAGTTCTGTCGCTTTTGAGCGAGCACTTCTTCGGTGCGATGTCGATGTGATGCCTCGAGTCGGCCGACGCGATACTCGAGTTCGTATGTACACCAGCCGAGAGTCTAAGTTATTTCACTCGTGGCTCTCAAGGCGACAGCTTCTGCGCCGGCGAGAAGCGCAGCATAACCTGAGAAAGATGGCACACTGTGAATTTCGAGGACTGTTGATTCGAAGTCTTGAAGGCTGCTGAGTGCTTTGCATTGGGGAATTCACATGCCAGAACTAGTGCGGCAATCCTAGAGTGACTGAAAGTTAAGATAACCATAGGCTTTCAAAAACAAAAAATATGTGCTTTGAGAAGTTCAAGCTTTTGAACATGTATAACCCGACGGGTACAAATGGGTTTAGTGCTGTCCAATTACTGACCCATTTCGTTCAATTCAGCGGGCCTGTGACCCGTGACCGTTTGGCCGAAATGTCCAATTCGGCCGGAGGCCAAACTTTGTGTGACCTCTTACCTAAATAGGAAATTCAGCGCACCGAAGGCGCGAAATTTTTGAAATCCTTCCAAATTAGGACGCTTTGGGACCAAAAGAATGGGCTGTGACCCGTGACCGGCCGAAATATTTCGGCCAAAAAATCAGATGTGACCGTGACCGGCCTAATTGAAGGAAATGGGTCAGTATGATTATGAAGACATGTTTGGCATATTCTTAATATATTCATATTAAGTAGTGTCAGTGGGTGTAATGTAATTGTATTCATAATCTTGAATATATATTCAATTATATTCAGAAATATATTCAATTATGCTCAACCCAAGTGGGTGTCATATCATAGACTCGGATATGGGTTAGGGGGTCCATAAGGGCGGTGAAAAACAGTTTTGCATAGCAAAAGTTTTGGGGCTATGCTTTTGGGGGGTTCTGGTGGGTCTGAGCATATGTTTAGGTTATATTTGTAATATTTTACCATGCTGTAGTGTTTTAGTCAATTCACATACCACATGTCACACTGCTATTATTATACAATTTTTTCACATGTCACACAGATCTAGAGGAAATCATGGCCTAATATGGTAATTTATGACGTTTTCGGGTGCCTCCACCACTAAGAGTTGCCTAATTAGGAAATAATTCGGATTCAAAATTTTGTATCAGATGTCATAGCAGAAATAGCATTCAAATATAGTAACAGAAGGTGGGTATAGGTATATACACATAATGCACACTGTGTTACGGTTCAGGTCAGGCTGACGGGCCACCTACCCCCAGGACTGTTTGGGCCCGACCACCCGATGCCCAACTCCCCATTCTTTCAACCCCTTCCCTTCACCCCCTACGGGTCCCTACACAGTGCCCATCCAATCTGCCCTGGGGCCTAGTGCCCATCTGATCTTATCCCCAATACTCATCTGTATAAAAGCTGTATCTACAGTCTGTACCTCAGACCCTCTGCAGCTGGACACCTGATGGTTCAAGACTGCCCAAGCCCGATGCTGATACACTGCTTGCTTGTGGGCATGTTTCAGCTACTTAGTTTGGCTGTAGTGTCACAATCTTAGTATCTGATCCTTCATTATGGCATATAGTTATAGATAGACTCTAAAAGGGTTTAAATGCTACATGTTCCTTGAAAATATAAGGATTCTAATAGATATGACCATAAATATAAGTTTATCGCCACTTTGATTACATCATCAGGTCATATAATGTCTTATCTTATTTAATTGTGGGAACATATTACTTAATGAAGTAAGGGAGAAGGGTCCTACAAGGCCTTTAAATTTTTTTCCAATAGTATATCTGTTTTTTGAATAATGATACCCCTTAAGTCAACTCATCAGTGTGGTTGCTAGAGTGCTGTTGAGACCAGCTATTACATTCTTTTGACTTGAGAAATGTTTCTAGTAGAGTTTAGATTCCCCCTCTGCTTAGGACTCTGATGTTGAGCCTTGCAGAGGTTGCCTTACGTGTACCTTGATGGACCTTACATAAAGTCTTGATTGAGATACACTGTATTCATAGTTGAATAAGGCTGATATTATATGAAAATAGAATGAAAGGAGTTTATAATCACTGCCCATTTGCTAAATTTTGACTTACTTAGATCTTTTACATTAGTTACATAATCTTTAGGAAGCCCTTTTGCTGGTCTAAGGGCTGCATATAAAATGCTCAAAATATTTCTGTCTCAACTGCTACAATATAGTATATGATCAGTATTATTTTATACAAATGCACTATTCCCATACCTATGTTTGCCAATATGCTTGCTTGATGAGCCAGATATAAACTTGTGTTCTATGGGCTTGGTACTAGTATCACTATCCTTGGCATTTGCAACCATCTTCACATCCAAAGCCTAGCTTTGAATGTCATGCTGCTACTGTAAAAATTTGGGATTATCTGCCTCTGAGAGAATTTTAGGCTACTATATTGTCTCCCCCATTTTCAGCTGTCAACTACTCTGTAATGTGTCTCGGGCTGCTCATTGGAGTGCTGGTGTTACTAATCACTCCCAGAAGGTTGCAAATCTTGCTTATCTCAACTCAGCCATTTACCATAGTACTAGCCTTGATGCTCCCAATGCTCTTTCTAATCTAACAGCACCTCATCCTCTAGTTCACCTTCATCAACCTTGTTCAGCAACCTGAGCTAGTGTAAGGGCAATCTGGAGGCCTGAGATCAAGGTTCTAGCAGGGGAGGATCCAAAGAGAAGAAACTCTAAGGGTCTACCTGCTAGGTAGCTGACTATATACTGCTTGTCCGTAGCTGCCGCTGGCAGGCACAGAAGGCTTGGGTGGTGTTGCAGGCCAGGTCTCACGGTGACTGTTGGGAGGACATTGACAGATCCATGATGGCACAGACTTAAGCAGGGAAGGTTCCCCTGATATCACCCCCCCTTTGAATATGGTGTCTCAATGCATAGACCGGAAAGGGATCATGTCGAAGGTTGCAGAGGCAATGTGCCGTGGTTTGCCAGGGTACTTACAGTAGGACTCTGCAACTTTCTCTGGGGCAAAGACACGGTCAAAGCGGACCCACTAGTCGTTCAACACATTGTAGCCTTTCCACCTGACAAAGTAATTCAGCCGTTTATATCTCACCCTAGCATCCAAAATTTCCTCTACTTCCTATTCCAGGACTCTGTCCTTGAGGTCTGGAGGGGGTTTATTATATTGACAGAAGGCCTGGGTATGCCAGCTAAGGTAATCCTGGAGGTCCAGGGGGTCATTCAACAATATGATGTCATTGTTGATCAATGGATCAAGTCCATGGCAGAACTTGGTCACCTTGACCAGCACATCTTTAAATTCGGCAAGGTCCATCAGGTCCTTGAAGTCATCAGTGTACTGGTAGACATCTGGCAAACCCATGTGATAGGCAGAAGTCTCTAGTTTAGACAGGGCATGGTCCTGCTCTGCAGCTGGTTCTCCTTGATGAACCAGAGTCAAAACATGAACAATCCCCAGGACAGAAACAGAAACAGGGCTTTGCTTTTGTGGCACTCCGCTCTGTCCATTACTGTGCGGATCCTTGCGCCATGAACAACATAGTGTACTGGATGGCCTTTGAAATATATGAAATAGAAGCACTAGTGAAAGTGGAAACCCAACTAACACCCAACACAACTAGATCAAAACCAGTGAGATCGGGGCTCCATGCAAAGTATATGCATGCTGCATCTTATAAGAAGAAGAGGTAATGACAAAGCTGAGTGGGAACCATAGATAGTTGAAAGGTGGTGATGATATCAATGATGATAGTGGTGATGCGGGTGATGTGGATGTAGGTGAGGTAGGTGTGGATGAAGGTGTAGGTGTGGGTGTAGGTATGAACAGGTGAGACCTACTCACCATATCATAAGAGGAATGACCAGCTCTCTCTAACCACCAACCCAATATGCAACTAAACCCAAAACCAATGCAACCTCCTCCTAATATGGTAACAGTCACAATCACAGTGACATTGAATATATTTGTTGTTGTTGTTGATATATTATTTGTTGTTTTTGTTATTGTGTTGGATAGCACTGAAGCCAGTATCAAAAGCATCAAACAATATGCCATATATGGCAACAATGTTCCAGATATGGGTCACTCCATTATAAGAGGGCGACATTCCATATTAGGCAAGACACATCCGAGCATAGTCACAGTCTTCCGGGGCTCAGCCAACTCCTATATCATAGGTTGTCTTGGACCAACAGCATTGACGTTGACAGCTGACGTTGACATTGACAGATGTTCCTTAATAGAATACCCCGCAGCCGCGATCATGATTTGTAATCTCGCTGAGTCAGATCAAAAGCAGCACAAAGAGGTGAGGAAACCCGGAGGGGAGTTCACTGGCTAACTAGTACATCCGAGCTAATTATATAGGTTTTTGGCCTCCTCACAACCGTCT